GAAGAGCTCAATCATGACTCCTCGAAAAGTCACATCGACATGAGGAGCATTGGCCAATCTATCTATAACCCACCTTTTCCAATGAAAGGCTATGATTAAGCCATTATTTCCCTTTGTTGGGTTTGTTCTTGGCAGGCACAGCGTCAAACGTCGGCCTGAAGATGACCTCCCTATAGTATCTAGCCTCCTCAATGCTCTCCAGAATGTCATCCCTCGCCTTGTGCAGACCCTTCTTATTGGGAACCTTATTCACAATCCTCTTGGCTGCCCAGCGTCTTGCAGCCTCCTTGATAGAACTCACGTCAAGAATTCTGTGATGCAGATGTCTCATGACCCGCTTGTAGGGTTCACGTCGCAGAAACGCCCTATCGCAATGCACGCTGTTACCCGCAAGAAGACCACGTTTGCGCTCAGGGATGAAGCGTGTTATGTACTCATACAGAGCGTCTGCGGCTTGCTCCGGAGTAGTTGTGGATTCGAGAACAGCAGCGGTGAGGCCAGAGTCTGCGTGTGTCTTTGTGCACCATTCGTCCATCTGGTCAAGACGGGACTGGGGGAAGTGGATGATGGCGTGGAACCCCTCCTCATCAAGAATCTCGAGGTTTCCTGTGGTGATAATACAGTAGATCTCGATGATTTCGTCGTTGTCTTGATCCAGGCCAGTCATCTGTCGATGATGTGAGTTGAAGCCCCTTGTACCATGTAGCAGTACATACCTCGCAGTCAATCCAGACAAGAGGATCATCGCTGGCGCTCTTAGGCTGGTTATCAGCCTGTACTTCTGCTACTGTCGACATTGTTGTGAGTTTTGGGTGGTTGCAATGTAACGTTGATGTTTGAATCTGGCTTTTCTCATGAGAGATCAGTACTCGAGTAGTGGGGTATGATCCATTCAGAGCCCGTTAAACTTCCAGTTAGTGTATACCTACAGTTAATCAATGCGCTGGAACGTTGCGTGTATTAATGAGCTCTGCCTCATTGGCCGTCACTGTCAACTTCAACCGCACGATATACGAAAACAATTCCACAAAGAGACAACTTTCAGCCTCAACTGAGAATACGTATTACAGCATCATAGTTCTTTTTGTTTGTGATTATTCAGCAGAGATTCTCCGTACGACAATAGTTCTCTCCAATTGTGCTGCCTGCGAGGCATCTGCGAATCACATCGGATGTCTGGCTTCTTCATTTAATTCCCCTCAAGGCAGATACTTAACTTTACCAGCCTTGAACACATATAAACAAACATTTTCGTATTTACACACTTTCACCACTTGATTTCAGATTATTCATTGCTTAACATGTCTCAACTGAAGAACCTCTTAACAAAGCTTACCAAAACCCAAGATGGAGATGCCCAACCACAGCCAGAGACTCTTGTCTCCAAACCCCCTCCCAAGCCTGAGATGTCAGTGACACCACCACGCTTCCTCATCATCGGTGCTGGATCACGAGGGCAGAACTACGCCGCTGCAATTGACAGCGTATCCAATGGCGTTGTCGCCGCTGTTGCTGAACCCTTGAAGTTCAAGCGCGAGTCCCTCGGCCGAGCTCACATCTGGGGTGACGGTTCCCCTGGAGAAGGCCAGTCTTTCCATGACTGGCGAGAATTCTTTGCATATGAGCAGGATCGTCGAAGGCGAGCTGCTTCGGGTGAAGAGAATGTACCGGAAGGTGTTGATGGAGTCTTTGTTTGCGTGCTCGACGAGATGCACCGTGAGGTTATCGTCGGTCTTGCACCACTTGGGTTACACATTATGTGTGAGAAGCCTCTTGCATGTTCCCTTCAAGATTGTGTCGACATGTACAAGGCCATGCGTCCCTCCCAATCCACCAAGATCTTCTCAATCGGCCATGTGCTGCGATACAGCCCACACAACATCCTGCTCCGCAAGCTTCTCATTGAGGACCGTGTCATCGGCGAAATTTCAAGCGCCGTACACACAGAGCCCGTAGGTCAGTAAAAATGGCACAAAATCAGAGATCCCCTCGAAAATACAAGCCGATGCTTGATATGTAACTGACTATAATATGAATAGGTTGGTGGCACTTCACGCACTCATATGTCAGGGGAAACTGGCGCAACGAGAATACCACTGCCCCATCCTTGTTGACTAAGAGCTGCCACGATATCGATCTTTTGCTCTGGCTGCTCTGCTCTCCTGAGAAACCAGGGCAGGGAGAGCCACATCTCCCTGAAACGGTCTCATCTGTTGGGAACCTTCATCTCTTCAAGAAAAGTCGTAAGCCCAAGGCTGCAGGATCGGCGACAAACTGCATGAAATGCCCCCTCGGAGACGAAGGGTGCAAATTCTCTGCAAAGAACATTTACCTGGGCCCCAAACTCAAGGGCTTGCAGGCCGGCAACACAAGATGGCCAGTCAGTATCGTCGTCCATGACATTGAAGACTACCCCTCCCACCAGAAGAAGGAAGAGATGTTGATCAAGGCTCTGGAGGAAGACTACAACGACTCTACACCAAAGTCGGAGATCCAAGCCCGTAACTGGTTCGGCCGTTGTGTCTTTGAAGCTGACAACAATGTCTGCGACGACCAGTTCGTCACCATTACCTGGCCTGCGTCCACCAAGCCTTCAAAGACAGCTACTCTGCATATGGTCGCTCAGACAACAAAGATCTGCGAACGTTACTCTAACTTTTACGGCGAACATGGCGAGGTTCACGCCAATTCACGTCGCATCGTTGTTGAGGACTTCAACACAGGCGAGGTGAAGACATATCATCCTCGTGTCGAAGATCTTGGCCATGGTGGCGGAGACTTGGGTCTGACACGCCAGTTTGTCATGGCATGTGATCGTGTCAAGAACCATGACTGGGAGGCTCCTCGTGCTCAAGATGAGTTTATTGGGTGCACTCTTGATGAGGTGCTGCGAAGCCATGCTATGGTCTTTGCAGCTGAGGAGGCGAGACTTGGTCGTAAGGTCCTTGACTGGGAAGAATGGTGGAACAAGGCTGTTGGAAAGCAGATGGAAACTAACCGACATGCGTAATATGTCAGCTTGGCAGTGAATTTCTGAAGTAATGGTGACTAACGGTCAGAATGGTTTTATTATTAGCATATTCACTTTATGACTTCACTAATTGAGCAAGTTTGACTTAGGCATTATCATGTTTTTAGATTCGTCAACTAATAAACCATTAGGTTCGTTCTGAGAACAGAAATATAGCAACTCATGCAATCAAATATCCATGCAAATCCCTTCAACTGTGAAATCTCACTTGTCTTTGTAAAAAGAACCTGCTATCTTTATGAATCCTCCGTCGTCCAGAATGAAACTCCCATTACTCCCATGAAACCATTAACGACACATCTAGCTGAGCTCAGCTCGGTTGCCCTCATTTCCCAAAGGTTGAACAGCAGGTAGTTCCTGAACATGCTGTTGAGGGGCGCCCTCGGGGCCGTCCTTGTTGGGACCCGGGCTGGGCGTGAAATGAGGAGGGGGTGATGTAGATGGAGCTCCATAGCCGCCGACGCCATACTGAGAAGGATACTGCGTTTGCTGAGGGTACTGGCCCTGGAAGTTCTGGGGTTGAGGAGAGTAGCCGCTGTATCCAGGCTGTTGGTATCCTTGGGGTTGACCGTAGGGAGCCGCCAATGAGGGGTCGTATGCCTGCTGGTAGCCACCCTGGTAGTTTGAGGGGACTCCTGAGGGGTAGGCGGCGTTGGAAGGCGATGAAGGAACGAAGCTGGGTCCTGGGCTCTGGGGTCCTTGGGCCATGGAAGGTTGGTTTTGTGTACCATCGCCGGGAGTAGTAGTAGCAGCAGCAGGAGTTGTCTTGTTTCGACGGCGGAACAGAAGAAAACCAGCGAGGCCAACGAGAGCGAGAGCAGCGACACCACCGACAACACCACCAGCAATGGCGCCAACGTTGGTACTGCTACCGCCACCACCGTTATCAGCACTTGTGGAGGTTGCCGCAGCACTGGTCGTTGTAGATGATCCGTCGTCGGTGGTCGTAGAGGGGTTATCAGTAGTGGATGAATCGTCGCCTGAGGTCGAAGATAGAGCCAAAGGGTCAGACAAAAGCAGGACAGAAGTGCCGTTGCCGGCAGCGCAGTCGAATAATGTAAACTCGTCGACGCCTGTGGTCGCAACCCACTCAAAGCAATTGGGACGATCACGCTGGCCACTAATATCAAGTTAGTAACAAATCAATCGACCTTGCGTTTCTTGATTGAATAACAGGCACGTACCAACAGAGAGTATGAAGGTCTGAAAAGGATGTGCATTCGTCACGAGATCGCGAGTAGGGGATGCAAGTTGTCTTGACCGAGTTGCAAGATCTCGCAGTATCACAGCAGCCAACATAACCATCGGACAAGGTGCAGGTGGCGGATAAGGTGTTTGTACACGTAAAGGAGTCTATTGCCGGTCATGTTAGTGTAGAACACTTGGAAATCGAGCCCCTGGTCTTGTCTGTCCAGGGCTATGTCTGCGGCTTCGCGAAGATGCACGCTCAGGTATCGACTCACTTCCTACTGTATCGTAGCCACAGGTATTGTCTGTCACGGCTCGTTTGCCCAAGGCAAAGCCCATGTCCATGGCACCGGCAAGTTTGGGGGCACCGGTTGGTACTGGTGACCATCCCATGGCAACCTGACCCAGTTCAGCTTCCTCCCCAAATACTCCAGTCTGTCGGGGAGGTTCCCATGATCTCTCTTGGTTCGAATTCAACCAAGCGGCGGTAGCGGTTGAGCTAAGTGCTCCTAGAGCAAGGAGAGTAGCAGAGCGATGCATCGTAGTCTAGTGTTGTTGTACTTCGATTCGATAAGGTAGGAGGTATTCGATCGATCTTCTGATGGCTGAGGAATTCGGTTTATCTTTCGAGGTCTTTTATGCGACTGCCTGATTTCTGCTAGCCAAGGGGCGAGATGAGTTTCGCTTCGTAGCTACGGTATATCTTGCGGTGTAAGTGAGTTCGTGCCCCGCGATACGAAGCAATTCAACCGTGTTGGAGCAGTAACCAACTTCGTAGCACAGCGACGATGTGTATTTGACAGAGGAGAAATTGCAATGTAAGGCAGGGGTCAATGGGGATTTTGTCTCTCGTCCGCCTGTACTATTTTGGGCCAAAAGGTGCAATTCGGCCCCGACGAAGACTTGCAGGCCATCGACACGCCGTCTGTGAGGTACATTGGGCGCACCGTCCAAGTACATACACGCATGTGGTGTCGGGGTACCTACGACAGGGGTGAGCCTTGATGGGACTAGACGAGATCAATGGCCACAGCCCAGGGACTTTTCTGTCTTCTGAGCGTACCAAAATCACAGCCCCTGCTCACTCCAGTGAGATCCCTGCGCCTAGTGGCGTTGCTGGTAGGTGATCATTGGCGCGAGGGATCTTTAGTGCATCGAGCTGAACTGACCCCTGTTCGAATTGAAAAGCTTGGTGGATGGTAGAATGGGGTTGCAACTTACAAGGGTGTTAGCATCTGTTCAGCCTTTTGAAACTCAGCCCCAGGTAGCTCAAGAAACAACCCAACTTTCAAGAGGAGGTTCAGTCTCTCGACAGATCAGGCTTATGTAACCCCGACGTCGGCCAACAGCCAGCAATTACCTCGATAGTAGTCACTGACACTGACTGTTATTGTGACTATCACGTGGAAATTCAAGTGATGAACGCATAGGTTGTGAGACAACAAGTTCGTTACCTAATCCCGTATTTCTCGTGAGCTCATGAGAGGTTCCGTTTCCAACCTCAACAGCTGCATCCACAGCCCTCACAATTGCCCCAAGCACAGTCGGCCTCACCAGCAAAGGCCTTCTTGCAGTCGCTATCATAGTGACAAGAGACCCAGTTTCCTTCACCCCATCCCCAGTTCCATTTGGCCCAGCACCACGGGCCACCAACGCCTACATTTCCATTTCCGCCGCCGCATCTCTTCCAACACCATCCTTTGTCGCAGCCGTAGTCCTTCTTCCCCCTGTAGCATGCTCGTTTCTCCAGTGTGTTTTTGCTACGGTTGATGAGCTCAGATGCTGTCTCTTGGTTGGATGGCATTGCGTGGACGCCAATGGCACAATAAGCAACAAGGCTGGCGAAGGCGGTACTGAATTTCATATTGAAGAGACTTGCTTTGGTGTTTGATAGTAACGGGAGATGAGATGAGATGAGATGATTGAGTGAGAATGTGTTGAGGATGATAGATATCTTTCACCCGAGAATCATCTCTCTTTTATACTTGTTCTTACCTCTTGACTTACACGCAGGCTGGTTCTCGTGCAGGGATAAATACGGTTATTTCTGAACAGTAGTCTCGTGAACGTTGAAGACGGACCAACAGCATGATGCTTCTACGAAAGAGGATAGTTGAAGAGAGAAACACAGACGTTCTACCAGGTTGCTGAAGATACAACCATATCATCATGCGACTGAATACTCGAAGAGGTTAAGTCAGTGAACTTCTGCGCGTTTACGACTCAGACATGAATGTGATAACAGAACCAACAGCATCATACTACTACGAAAAGAGGTGGTTACGGATCGTTCTGCTGGGGTGCTGAAGACAGAGACGACACACGAGCGAATCCTAAGCCTGGATATGGAGTAGGCGTATGGAGTACAGAGGGAATACTCGCCGTACAGCACCTCAATGTTGAAGACAGAACCAACAAAATTACCAGGCTGTTGAAGCCATGACTAGCACATTGGTGGATACTAGCTAGGCAGTTTGTTCGACGCAGAGACGAAAGACTCACCATGTACGATTGAGCGATCAAGTTTGGTGAGAGTTCCGCGCATGATATTGTGAGATATTTGGTCCTTCTATTTCTATCAAAAAGCTATGTAAAGACATATACAGGGTATGCTTCGAGTCTCTAGTGTCCGGTCACGTCATCAGCTCTGTCAGTCTGGCTCGAAGTCTCTAGCAGCGTGAGTCAAAGTGGTTTGCTGGTCAGCTTGGCGCTAGATCTGTCTCGATTCGCTTCTGTAAGTCACGCTCAGTCACAACTGGACTGTTTCGACCAGGGCTGATGTATGCAGAGCGATCCTGATGAGCTGACCATGCGGAGCAGATCCAACAGCAATATCCTTCGAGTCGAAGCCGAGTTCCGAAGTTCAGGCCGGAGCTGAATGCATTCAGCAGGGAGCATTCGGTGGATTAATCCTGTGAAGAGGCTAAGTATAGCTGCTGCGAGGATGAGTGCGATTTAGAGTCTACAACAGTTCCTGTATACAATGAAAGTCGTATCATCTTCTCATCGTCACGTCGTCTAAATTTCTCTATCCAGTATGCCCTCGCGTTGTGTTGCGTTGTTCAGGTTGGCTTCGCCTCAAGCGTTTGGCCGCTGTGCTCTCGGGCTCGCCTCACAGCTGCATATGGGCATCTCAACACAGAATAGACAAGACAGACTATTGTATGCACATGCAGGAGACCGGGCGACTGCGGTCAAGGGTCCGTCCGCTCTGGGCCATGGTTAACCAACGTATATCAATTCAATTGACATCGTTTCCATTCAGATGGTCAGGCCAGGAAGTTTGTGTTTAAGTGTAAGCCACCTCCGCAACCGCAGTCATGAATGATTTCGTGCCGATGATGCGGTTCCCCTGTAATCAAAGATAGAAACAATCAGACCAAAGACTAACATCGACTTTTCCCCATATGAGTGATAGCTGTGGAAAGTACCTGCGTTGTACGACAGAGGTACCTTGAGAACCCAACTAGCAGCAACAGGGCAACACCTTACAGCGCACTAAGTATCGACCGTTCGCCTCTAGCCATTCATTGGCTGGCGGAGTTAGACGTGGTCTCCTGTGATTTCCGTTTATTTGCCTGGCTTTTGACGCAAATTGCCGAACTGGGTATGCGAGTATGCGCGCCTCGCTCGTAAGCGGTCCTCGCACAGGTGGCCCAGAATAGCATGTCGCTCCCCGATACCACAGCACCAAGGGCGTTGAGTTAAGCTTGATAGATGGAGCCAGAGGTTGGCTATGCTGAGCTTAATCACAGCATATGACCTAGGCACTTTACGTACTGTCTTCTCGAGCCTCAGTTCTGGCCATTTGTGCTTCCGACTAAACAGACAGTGTCCCATCCGATATGTTCCCCGAGGTGGCATTCAATTCACCGCCAAGAGAGTGGTTGAAGCGCCCCGTGCCGAACAGTGTGGGCTTCTGAGACCCTGCTGCATGGGTTGACCATGGATAATCAGCCTCTCGGTGAGTGGCAGATTGCTCAAGTCCCAAAAGCAATGGCCATAAAAGCCCAATTCCGCTTGGTCTCCATAGATGGGCAGTCACTAAAATCTGACGCTGGACGACAGCGTCGGGTCTCATTTCAGCCGATTTATGGCTGCTTGCTCTCCGTCGACTCGTTGTAGGGCGTGGATGCCAGCAGGGGGGAAAATCTTTGGTAGCTCAGAGGAACAGGAACTAACCCTCTGAGGGCGTTATCGACTTGACGACTAGCCTTGCACAGCATAGCGTGCAAGGCTTGGGGAAACGGCGATGCAGCTAGGATTTGGCTAATCTTATTAGACAATATTTGAATGAGGGCAAGATTGACGGGGCGGAACCTGTTCCCGTCAAATGATACCTCGCGGAATTAGCCATTCCATTGGGGGGGACAATTAACGTCGCATCGCAAACCACCAAAGAGTGTTTGCTGTGCATCGTGAATTCATCATGGGCTACAAATAGAACATCAATTGATAGCCACGGCCTAGAACACGGTAGTCAGTCTTCGGTATTCATCTCCTCGTTCTCTAGTTGGCCGTTGTATCTCAGCCTTGAATTTCTTGGCTTACCACCAAACATAGCCACGGAAAGATTATACGAAGCTAATTTCCAGGCTAGTGCACAGTTGCACACCTTTAATGTCTTTGGCAGCCAGAGAACGCCCTGCAAATAGTTGTCAACAGCAAAGCTTCAGTTAACTTACACTCAAAAGTCAATGCTGTAACGGCACTATCGAAACTTACTGGCAAAGCGCCGTAAGCTGAGTTGTAAAACATCTTCTTTCACGCCGACAACTCCGTGCTCTGTCATGTAGTGTTTCCGTCAAGACGAAGACCCTTATCGACCCAGCTTTGCCTCGTGGAGTGAGAGGTTGGTTCAATGGAGATGACCCAGAGAATTATAGCCGAAACGGCAAGTAAACGACAACCCCCTGTCGAAGGATCTGGGTGCTTACCAATGTTGTCCCAACACCAGCACTGGAGAGAAACTCCACGGAACAGCGAGATTTCAAAGCTTCAAGATGAGACCGGCCTGCGAAACACTGACCCGTGCTTTGTAAAAGAAATCTATCGTGAAAGTGACAGAGATAAAGCCTGATTGGCTAATTATCATGCAGAACCTAACCGTACAGGATCGCATTTCTCAAGGAACATACCGTCTCATGCCATTTGCTTAGAAGTGCAATATTCGTCATGGAGCCAGATAAGAGTATAAAGGAACAAGTGTTTCTCCTCCTATCAAGATAATCATCACCATCAACCGAGCAAGCAAGCAAGCAAAAGATCAAAGTTCTCAAACACCACAAAACAACCAACATAGTTGCAAATCAACAAAACACTTCTCATCAAGATGTTTTCCGAAGCCAAACCACTCCCTCCCGTCAAGAGATTCATCACCACCCATGACTCCAACGGAAACGCCATCTGGGATGAGACTATCCCCATTCAAGTTGAGGGGAACCGCAGCGGTGGCTTCACGACTCACGTCTCATACGTGAACGAGGATGACACCAACACCCTGACAGGTGACAACGACCTCAAGTCATACAGAGAAAATCCCACCGAGAAGGACATTGCTCCAGCTTCTGGCTCTGCCCTTCGGGTTGTCGACTTCTGGCCTGGCTTCCCCGCTATCATGCATCGGACTGCAAGTGTTGACTATGGCATTATCGTTGACGGCGAGATTGACTGTATCCTCGACAATGGGGCCACAAAGACCTTCCGCAGAGGTGACATTATCATCCAGAGGGGAACTAATCACGCTTGGAAGAACACTGGAACTGAAGTTTGTCGCATCTGCTTCACCCTTTTACCTGCGCCTCCCGTCAAGATCCGAGGCAAAGAGCTCGAGGTACACGGCTTCGCTGATTTTCCGCGACTCGCAGAAGAATCGACCGTCTGAGCGGGTAAACATCACAGGATGAGGGAGACAAAGCAAGTGCATTAATAATAGTCGATCATGTCACACTGCTGTACACAAACCATCGCCTGCCCATGCAAATACAATTCGACTTTTGTTCTCGGTCACCTATTCCACAATTTGAATACCGTGCCGTCTCCTTCGATTGTGTGACCAAGCTCCTTACCACCCTTTAGTGATTCTGTGTAATTCCGTCAGGAAAGCGAAGCACAGCGGCCGGCGTAGGTCATTCTTGATACGCTCGAATCGGCTCTCATCATGTTTGGTGACGAGCCCATGTCGTACCATAAAGTCCAGCATCACCAGTCCGCAGTTAGGCTTCCATCGATTGCTGCTCAGGCTTTCCGTTACTTGAGATACTCCCATGGGCTCAAATCTCTCGATTGCGCTCTCCATCTTTTTCGGTCGAAAGCTTGGGTTGGTGATCTTGAGATCGTAGACGAATCGCAGGCCGGGTTCGAGGTGATTGTTGTAGAGGTCACCCGCACTCTCGTCTTTGAGGTCGAAAAACGTAATGGACGAAGCCCTCTCTACGGTCCCAACAAGGATACGCCTCTTCTTCTTCTTGTCCCCATCATCACCCCCCATTTCCTCAAAGAATACTTGTCGTGTCAAGTGGTCGATAGTCAACCCAGCCTCCTCTCTTGCCTCACGTGCCAGCGTCTTGCAAGGAGCTAGTTGCCCCTCGATCGTGTCGTTGGTATCCGCGCCTCCAGCTACGATCTGATCTAGCATCCCAGGATAGCTGTAGTTGGGATCTTTGGAACGATGTGAGACCCAAATTTGATCAATGGTTTCCTTGCCATCTTCCTCCTTTACTCTGTAGACATTGAGATGGACGCCCACCGTTAAGACCCCCAGGACTCCTCGTAATGGCAAAGGAATGCGCAAGGGTAAGACGTTGACTCCTGGGTCAGCTAGGTGTATCGGGCAATACTCTTGATCTGCTTCCTTCGTCATCTTCCACACACCGAAGGCGGGGAACTTGTCAGCGTTGGCAGCTAAGAGCTTTTGAAATGCGATTTTGCAAGCTTCTTCAGGAGAGGGGATGTGGGAAAACCCCTCTGCAGCAAGGTAGTTGTTATTCCTTACGATGGTAATTCTCCGAACTTCGTCGCCTTTCTTATTAACCGTTTCGCAATGAAACCATTTAACGTCCCACTGAATCTTCATGCAGTCTTCCTCGCGAACATATCCCACAACTTCGTCGATACCTTCGATAAACAACTTCCACAGACGTGCATACTCATCGAGAAGGCCGGCTTTGTTGGCCCTCTCGATGACTCCGTACAGAGTACTCATGGCAGGTATCGAAGTATGGGTATTGGTATAATGCTGATAAGTGTGTTTGCAACTTAAAGGTGGTGGTTCAAGTCGCGGTGAGGTTGTAACCAGAAATGGTGTTGGATGTGCAAACTTTGTTGAAGCCATGGCGAAGACGTTGAAAAAGAACTTTTAAGGAAAGGTAAGTTTGCAACGTTGGGAAAGAAGGCTCCAGTGAATGCAAACAGCTGTGCCATGAGGTCAGTGAAGGAAGGATCGTTGTTGAAAACCCCCCAAAGCCTTGCAGTGAAAAAGTCCGTTTGCGCTTGCATGGATTTGATGGATGAATATAGATACCCATGAAATAAGGTAAGGTAAGGTAAGGTACTGCCTATCTCCCACCTGCAATTGGATCTCCAGTCTGGTCCGTGAACCGCAGCCTCGGGTGGCCACTGCCTTCTTGCCAACAACTGGATAAACAAATCTTCGCGATGCGGGCAGGATAGGCAGTAGTAGCTACTTGTCTGCGAGGTGTCGACGCGTAATATCCCCTTAATACTTGTGGTTCACAGCTCTGAGAAGGAACTCAGGTAACCGTCCCCTTGCAGCCAGACGAGCTTTCCGAGTCATGAGGACGACTGTGTTTATTCGGTGCAACAGGCGGCTTGTGTTATATGTGAGCGCGTGAGTGAGTAATTGTGATTGTGGTTTGTGACTGTCTGTGATTGAGGGGTTGTTCCCTGCGTTTTTGTTAGTGTATCTCGATGAAAGTGCAGTTGCTGATCGGTTCAGTGTTTCAGGGTACTACCTTGATGTTTAGGGCATACATGCGGAGTACACATGCATTTATTCGCACTTCTTACAATCAAGAGAGCTGAGCTTGTGCGAATTAGAAGTCAACAAGCTGACTTTGTACCCGGACAAATTGAGCATGAAGTTGGAACCAACCTATTGAGCGGTCCTGAGAGATCCATTCAAAAGTCTCACATTTGTTGCCCGTACCTTACCTTATCTCAAACTTGATAGGTGGTCTAGTAGCGGGACGGAACAGGAGCCGGACACCCGCCCGCTCGCCCGCAGAACAGGGGCTTGATGGCGCTGAGCCATAGCCGACCAAACTCGAATTTTGAGATGAGGGATTCGCCTGGATAATACAATACAATACAATGTTTTCCATCCTGATCAAATTTTTATTGTTCTTTGGCTATTTCATCTTACTCAGCTTATTGCTGTCAGTCAACGATTGTGGTTCTGATTCATCTGTACACCCTTGCCCCAGCTCTTGGTTCGGTACCATTGACCAGTCCTCCGGTTCCATCTCATACCAGTAGAGTGGCCCTCACCGGGGTTTTGTGCCTGTGTGGCACTACATACGAAATCAAGTGTGTAGAATAAAATAAAATGATGTGATTTGATGTGTAGCAAGTAGAGCATTGATGAATGCTGTCCGTCCTCATGCGCCTGTGATCCTGTGCCGGTTGCCCGTGTCATACCCATATCCATTCCCAAATGCACTATTTTTGTGGAATTTCGTTTCGTCGTTTCAATTTCCCTCAAGATCTTACATAAATAAACGCCCTAAATGTCGATATCGTAGCAAAAGCCACCGTCGAGGTGGTCCATGGAGAATGTCTTAATGAGCTGCAGTGTGATGGGTTACTCCAGGTCCCGGATATGCTGCTGCCTTTGCGATGGAGTGATCGTAGAGCCTTGCGCCAGCTGAAGCCGCTGCCGCTGCAGCAGCAGTGGTAGTATCCTCGAGAGCATGTTGTGCGAGTACCGGTGTAGATAGTGTCGCCGTCGCCGTACATAGGTTACATAGCTCCATCTGAGGCTCAGGGGTAAGGCAGTAGAACGGGCTCGAGCATTTACGAGCGCAGCGGGTGAAGTCGATGACCGTCTCACCAAGGCTATGGCGGCAATCCTTGCATATCCGCTGGGCGATTACGGTATGGCACATGTTGATGAGATGTGGTTGTACAATGGAAGAATATGTAGGGGGAAGTATGCAGTAGTATGTGGTAAACGTATGTAGGCACGTTGTATTTGTAGTTGCAGTATGTAAGGATGGATGGAAGGGAGGGATGGTATGTAAAACGTTGGGATGTGGAGGCAAGGTGCTTCTTAGAAGTAAGGTTGTTGATAGATAGCCGTGAAGCTTAATAAAGAATAATTTTTGAAACGGTCAAAAGACTGGTTATTTAGCTGTAACACAGATATGGTGAGGCCTCGTTGTGTATCGACAACGTAAGCACGCAGAGGCGCAGCTGCGAATGTTGTTTATATTGTTGAAGGAGGCTTGGACGTATCTCAGGCATAGGTAGAAGGTGTGTCGAAGAATGTTTTTATCCAACCAAACAAACAGAGAAGCAGGGCAGGATTCCAGGGGGCTCCAGGACCCTTTTTAACCTTTCGTAAATCTTCCGTAAGATTCAACTAGAAGTCTCGGGGTGTAAGTACCACGAGTGACAGTTGCATGACGCACGTAGGCAAGGTAGTAGCCGTTGGGACAATAGAGTTAGGCTTTGATCAGAAAAGGGAGAGGGAAACATCCAGACAACCCGATGGCCAAGTATGTGTTGTGTGAATGAATTGGAGAGACAGCAAGGGGAGACAAATTGGAGGGAGTATGTGTGTGACCACAGAACGCCATCATATGACTGTTCATCTCCTTAAAGGGAATCCTCGGAACAGAATTGGGGGACGTACAAACCACTTACTATCGACAGACAAGGAAGGCAGTTGGAGGATGAAAGGGTGTGTGTTGAAGAGCCAGCGCCAGCTCAGCATTAATCGTCTGGCCTCAAGAAATTGTCAGCCCAGAGGCCGTGAATTGGTAGGTTGAAAGGTCTCATTCAGAGCCCAGACTTTTTTGTTTTTCTGAAAGCGTGTGCCGTGTGCCTTCTTCTGCCAATAACCAAGAGGGAACGATGCATCCGTGACCAGCAAAAAGAGCTTTCCCCGCATTGTACCGTCTGCGAACATCCAAAGGCAAATAGAGCCTTGACTAATAAGTTGCAAGGGATGATACGGAGGTTACCTTGGCTCTGAAGCTACTGCAAGGATATGCAATCACAATGAGGCACTTTATTGCAACTATGTCCCCCATCAGCGGGTATTCTCGCCTTTCTGACAAGAAGCAAAAAGGGCACGGTTTTGTCTGCGGCTTTGGATAGGACGACACGCGTCTCGGCTTGTCTTGTCTTTTCCCCTCTCTTGACTCCATTCCTGGGGGATTTTTTTCGCGGGGAAGGTCTCTGATAGGTATGGCCAAGTATGATCCATTGTAACTAAACTTGGCGCGCACACCAAGCTTAGCATTCTAGATGGGCTTTTGCCTCTTACACGCATAACCAGGGTACCTTTTTTCCTTCTATCACATGGCGTTTCATGATCTCTTATCATGAATGACCTGACTGGGGAGCTTGTATCAGTATTTTCACGTCATGCCTCATCATGGCATCGCTTCGTCAAAAACGATACCTGACAAAGGGCGTCCTATGGTTTGCTGCAAGATGTTTGCCCCTTGCTGCCTGTCAAAAACACGGGATGATGTAGAATCTACGTGAGACAGGGGGAAATCGTCCGCCTGCAGGTTTGTACATACGGTACTTCTGAAAGTCAACATCCAACAAACAACCAGCATTCTCCATTGCTTCCATCGATTTCGTTCCAACGCAAATCACCGGCCCAATATCTCCGCCCATCATGCAATAACAATCTCGATCAGGTTTCACAAAGGAACATGGCTCTCAGCTGATACATTTGCCTGATGCCCACTTAATCGAGATCTTGAGTATCAGCCATTATTTGTCTTCAAAGGCTCCATCTTCCGTCATCAGGAAAACCATTTAACTTTAAGTCTTATCATTACGATGGTCACTCAGAACCATGGCGTGGTCCTGCATGGAGCCAAAGTACTGGAGTGTCATCTTGATCGAGGCGCCGCATATGCATTGCACCTCTTCCGTCATATTCTAGACCAGCCATCTTCATTGACTTTTGTCCCAATTGGTCTCCCCGGATACTGCTGAGTGGCCCTCTGAGCTTGCTATGGACGAATTGGATGAGCCAGAATCTCCATCTCAACTGCCAGGATTTGGAAGAACGTTCATGACCGCTTCGCTGGCTCCATTCAATCCATTGACTGACAGCTCAGAGCAACCTCAAATTGATCTGACGGGCTTCATGTTGTCACTGTCTACTATCAGAGAACGCCAGAAGAGGCATGACACACACTTTGGGGCTAGTCACGTCGATCTTGCTAAACCTTGTGGTAGCTTCAGCCACTTCTGATGAACAGGTTTTGGATTTATCCTCCAAAGCTTTTAATCATAGCTGGGTTCATCAATTCTCTTGTGATGATGTTCGTAGTACCGGAGAAAGTAATCCAGGCTACTGTTGCTGCGTTCCACTTTGGCAGCCTTGGGAGTTCAGAAGGCTAGATCTTCGCCATTCAACCCCCGAAAGAGCAGGGCTGATTATATGATCTTGCTCAGGTATGGTTCATAGCTAGAAATGTAGAGGAAACGACATCGAGGTTGACAGCTTTAGAATCTGGAGTTATTGGTTGATTTCCTTTCGGCTCATTTCGTCCAAACTTGAGGTGGAACCAATGCTCAACAACCGGTTACCCGACAATTGTGTGCCAACCGCTTGATAACAAAGTGATACAATAAGTTTCGAGCAAGGCCGATGAGCCGCCAAGAGACGAGAAGAGATGACCAGAATCTTATCACTAATAATGCGCTGATTGACGTATATCGCAAAATGTCGTGCTAAGTTATATGAAACTGATATCGCTCCCGGGTAGGTGATGCTTAAGTAGAGAAATTGCGGCGCAACTCGAGGAACCAGCTCTTGTCGCTTACAACGATGGATGAGGTACAAGCTCTGGATATATAAGCTATATGTCATTTATTGTTACAGAGGTGTCGGGGGTAGCAAAGCTTTGATATGTTAATATTCTTATGCGCGCTATCTGGTTCTTCAGCGACTTTGAGAAGGTAGAGAATCCATCATGCTCTTAAATAAGACCCAATAGTCACATACCTGACAGCACCCGAAGACAGACATTCATGTCACTGCTGATCAAGTATAAGCTCATGAGAAAACATAAGAAGCCACAGGAGAGCAGCATGCCCGCGGAAACATTTACAAAAAATGTCGACTTTTCTTCTTATATATATATATATATATATATATGCAAGCCTCGGGGAGCAAGAAAATTTCTGACATTAAATCAAGATGCTGAGATAAACTGATATAAGGGCTTGCTGAGATATTACAAATTTCCTAAGTCTTTTTATCACTTAAAAAAGAGGTCATAAGTTTTCTTGCCTCTCTTTGACAAGTTCTGTGGATTCTTCACTCCATGCCATGCTCGCAATGGAGTAGCCAATGGTAAACATCTTCAATCCAATTGGCCAACCACTTAAACTGCCTTACGTAAACACCTCGGACCGGCGACAACCTCACCTGTTGATCTTGGTGCGGCTTCTTCCCACGAGAGCCTCACAATCAATCGCTCAATTGAACGCTGCCCAACCCGCCCAACATGTTCGTCGCACGACAGAGGGTAGCCGGCGCGGCTCGCCAGCTGCAAAGGACGGCGCGAACCTACGCCTCCGACGCCCATGCCCATCACAAGGCCCCAGAAGTCAACGAGTCGTTCAGCGTATGTCAAGTCACACTAGCTTGCACCACGGAGCCCACGCCGACACCAAGGCACTTGGATGGCTTCAATTGAACATAGTATACTGATCATGGTCCCTAGACCGGTTCTCTCCTCGCTGTCGGCGGTTTCTTCGGCTCCGTTCTCGTCTACCAATTCGTTCCTCAGGAGGGCGAGCAGTCCTCAATCCTCAGCCTCATCGACAAGTACACTTCCCGTGGAAAGGACTGGGAGGATATCAATGCGCTTCACACAAAGGCCATGGAGCAGGCTGGTTACGACCGAAACCTTTTTGAAAACGGCGGCAACAAGCACCGATTTGTTGATGTTGCCTATCCCGAGTTCGTTCACCTGATACCACTGGCCGTTAATTAACGGAGGCTGCCACCTTCTCCCCAGTGACGGAAAGTAACTGCTACAAGAGCCATTACTAACCAGAGAAACAGGGCCATGACTTCGTATGCTCCCCGAAACAATGTCGCTGGCCACCTGGCCAACATGGACTACGTTGTTGAGCACTACCGACAAAAGCATATTCAGGAGGAGGAGCGGAAAGCGGCCAAACTGGCACAGAAGGAGGAATAGGGTTGTAAACTAGCCACGAATCGGACATACCTATGAATTCATTTTTCCATTGAGTTATTAAACGCAGTTTCCTCTTGAATTTGGTCCTACCTATGGAAGCGAGTTTCCCTCATGTGCTCGTCGAATGACCCTCCACTCCTTCTTAATATCCATTGCCAACACCATTCCCTCAAGGCACTTACCCTTCGACGGCGCTTGGACCTTTCCAAATACTCACCTACCTTAGGCTGAGCATTATCCATTCATCTAGCGAAGTCGAGTTACGCTTTGCCATCTCACTTCTTCCAAATACTTTCAACAATAATTCTTTAACATCAATCGCCATCATCATCCGTCTTGGATCCAAACAGTCTTTTTCTAGTTCGAAGTTTACCTCAATAGGAAACTAGCAACATGGCGGCCAACCAGAGCGGCCGGAGTGATAGTGGTAAGATCAAAACAAACAACCTGTGATAAGATGCTCACACCATTGCCAGAACGCATGGTTCAGCAACCACGTGCCGGTGAACAAGCCCTCGAAGACACAGACCCTGCCAACTTAACATCAAAATCACGGGAGGTTCCTGTATCGACTAAAGAGGAGAAGAGCCCGCCGGCAACGAGTTCTCATGATGTGAGGCCTGAAATCGACATCGAAACTCGCCAGACAGGAATCAAACGCAAACCTGGAGTTTTTGCCTTTCGTGACCTTCCTCATGGCCACGAGATCATCCGTGCAGAGCAACCAATATTTGTTGCTCCCTACGACGATCCAATTTCAGTATAGAATCAGAAGGATGTTGATCAACGCAAAGAGCTTACAAAGGCTTTTGCTCCCTTGCGCAAAATGCGGCATTACAATATGAACGCAACAGAATCTGTATGCCTCGACAAGTTCAAACGAGACTGCGCCTTCCAGGACCCTTCGGGTACCAGGGTTCTTATCTATAGTTTGGTTTCCAACATCAACCATGCTTGCCCAGACTGTGCACAGGCAACATTCCTCGTTGCTGAAGCTTACGACATTACGGTGACGCTTGTCAAGGATGTCAGAGCAGGCGAGGAGATATTTATTGACTTCGGCGAGGCCCGATCACACTTCGACTGCTCACCTTGCAATACCAGGGAACCTATATGGAAGAGGCGGAAACGCAAAAAAGACGGACGAGATACGAAAAGACGAGGGGGCACTGACGGAGATGAACCACAAAATCCGTGAATGAGCAGCGGTGCTCAAAGGATTTTTCGCAAATTTTGACCCGCGCAATATGTTCAAGGACTCCAAACCATGAAGATGATGTCGTGTAGGACTTGAAACTGAGACTTTTCATTTCAGCAAGTTAGCCAGGCCAAGAGGGGAAGGGTATGTGGAACATGAGGTTTCTAAAAGCATTATCACAATTATCAAGCATCAGCGGTAGTCGAGGGTAGTCATCAAGCGGACAATGCTCCTTTATTGTACTAATCATGGTACCCATTGTCATCAGTGTTTTTGATAGATGTTTTGCCCATCTACCAGAACCAGTCCTTTTCGCCCAAAATGTCCATGAATGCAGAAACCACCCGAGACCGCAACCTTCTTACTTGAGGGGAATGAATCGAGAAGAGTGCGTGGCACCAATACCGGGCCTACCGTGCTTGACAGGCTTGCTGGAGGGAGGTTAGTCACATTTTCCCTCGTTGGTGGTAGACAGTGGAAACATACTATGAGATAGAGAACTCAGCCAGGTAGTGACCAACCATCTCAGGCTTGATCTCGACCTGGTTGAACTCCTTGCCGGAGTAGATGCCAATGACACTGCCAATCATCTCGGGGACGACAATCATGTCTCGGAGGTGGGTCTTGACGAGGTCGGGCTTCTCGTTGGGCTGAGCCTCCTGCTTAGCCTTTCGGAGCTTCTTGATGAGACCCATGGGGCGGCGCTTCAGGCCACGGTTGATCCTGCGGCGGGCACGAGCGTGGACAACATCGCGAAGCTGGTCAGAGGAGAGGTCGAGGAGCCTGTGGAGGGGAGAAAAATCAAACATCAGCATGGAGTCCGTTCGCTCGGGGGTGCGTCCTCGCAGTTCTTCATCTTCCAGCATCGAGGCGCAGAAATCGTGCAGTGGCAACATACTGATCAAGGTCGATTCCTCGGTAGGAGAACTTTCGGAACGCTCTCTTTCTCTTGAGCTCGGCAGCCTGCTCGGCGTCCTGTCATCCGGAACACAAGTCAGTCAAGCTCTTTTTGTTTTGTATTGTCTCCATCTCTCCAGTATCGACATCATCATCGTGGGTAGCGGGTGGGAGTCGAGGAAGCCACGTCGGCGGCGGGTGTATGTTTTCTATTTCCAGAGGGGAAGGGATATATCGAGAGCACACGTACGTATTCGTCAGCCATGATCGCGGTGTTGTGTTGTTGAATTCGCTGAGCGGAAAACTGATGGCCTGGCTGGGGTCGATTTGAAGGCGGTTGTTGCAACAATCGCTTAGGCGCACAGGGAAAGAGCGATGTAGGGTTCTTGCCCTTCGCCCCCTCATCACGTGATCCTTTTCAAAACTGTGATTGTGGAAATCTAGGTAGGTACGTACCCTGATCCATGACGACGGAAGAAATGTGCTCCGCGATTCCGATATTTTATGGGGATGCGAAGCTCTTGCATTGTCTCAGGGTGAATTAGGCAGATACACCATGTCTCGAGTCTGTTCACATCGATAGCTTCCAGATTATGTAAATTGAGATGGTAGTGACAATGTTATGTGGCCGATCATTGTGTTTTAGTGAAGACATCCAAGTGGGATGTTCTCGACCTTCATAGTACAAAGGTCCATTGCAACAACAACAGTTATACGACATAGTGTAATGGACATCACATTTAGATTCTGTACAATGCCATGAAAGGATAGCGTAGAGTCGACGAGACCGGTAGTTATCTTGAATCTTCAACTCCCGGTGAGCTTGTTGAGCTGGCACTTGATCTTCAATCATCTAGCCGTATAAGTGGTTGCCCTGGCTGCCTGGCATGTGCTGCTGTAACCTTATTGGCATGTTGCTGTCACCAGCCATGGTCTCTCGGCAGCCAACCGAGCTTCTGAGCAACTCTATTCCCTTTTCCCTCTGCAAATCGTCTGAGAATAGACGCTAATTGGGATGAAGAAGAGAACAAATCCAGCCAAGACTCGCGGTTCGCCTCCTTCAGCGCATCTTATGATTATTGATTCATTGTCATCTCTTCATATGGTTTCGTCCTACATTGGCGGTGCAATGCCAAGAGTATCAAGTTTACTGGGCGTTGTGCTTTGACAGTCAATTGACATTCATTTACTTGAACAAGCAAGTCAAGCCAGTTTCTCTTCAGTAATGAAAATGTAAAAGTGAGTTGAGAAAGTAGAACGGTGAATTGATCTCATGACTGATAATTACGGCCAAGACAGAATTTTCTGCCTTTTTATCTAGGGAATGGGATTGGTTACTCTTGGTCGCGGCTTGGTGTGCATGTTCCAAGACTTCCAAGCCGGCGTATTCGGCACAAACCAAGGCGGCCTTCATTTCCCGCGTCAGAGACTCTCAAATGCCCAGAAATTCGATACTCATCAGCCAAGACCGTGGCACTGGGGCCAAAAGGCTCGGCTTAGGCTGGACGAGCCCACTATGATGAGCATTGGCCCTCGTAAGCTACTGGGCATGGTCATTGGGCCCCTCCCCAAGAGAATCCATTCGACCACACTTCCGCAGTAACCTATGACGGCTTGCGTGTGTCTTATGATGGAGGCTTGACGATGACATTCAGTATAAACATATACCTTATTTGAACGACTATCCGTGGCGACCACGACGGCGACCATGGGCTGTAGCTAGGGAGAAGCTCACCTCACTTGGTGCTAGGTACTACTATGTACTACGACAAGAGGACAAGGCGGCAATGCCCAGAACTCACAGCGGTCAACGTGGACGTGTTTCGGTGCAATCCAGGCCTTGGCGTTTCTCGGCACCCACCCGTGATAAGATTTCGCCAAGCCTTCAAAGGCCTCAGAAGGGGGAACACCAACGCTACTGTACCCGTCTTCTCGCTGCTGCTGCTCGGCAGGCATGCTATGGACTTGTCTGCTGTCTGCTTTGCTTTGCTTGGCTGGTTCTTGTCGTTTCTTGGGTACGAACCTTTCCTTTCCTTTCATTCATTTGTCACCATTTCTTGTCTTTCCCGTCTGTGTTATATATCTATCCCCATCGGTTCGTTCCTCTACAATATCTACGCCTGGATGGCCTTCGACATTGTCAGAGACGCTGTCCTCGATATTCTTCACGCGCGTCTTGTCTGCAGCTGGAATATAGCCAAGTCTGCGCGAAACCCCACACTGCAGATTGTCTGCCCAGCGAATCTTTCACGCGCCCTTTTATCCAACGAGAACGCAAACTACTGGTCGCATTGCCGGATGGACAAGAGTGACGATCGTCATTGATACGCCGAGTTGACGGCAAGCAAAGCACTTGTGGTGCGGCTTGTAGTCGAATCGGCCTGGCATATAAGCTTAAAGTTGTTTGCAATTACTGCAATTCCTTGTAATCACCAAAACCATGTCTTCTTCGACCGAGGATGATGAGTCCACATCATCTGGGTTATCGTCAATAGCTTCCGCCGCGCCATCATCAACCATCTCCCTCTCCGACCCAACGCCTGCTCCGACAACACTTGTGATCGCACCTAAGCCCACCAATGCAGACGACCTCGATGACGACGGGATATTCCCACCGATGACCACACCTTGGACCGGACCCGTTGATTGCACATGGACTTACGATGCAAACAAGATACCAAAGTCAGGTTCTGATGGCCTCGCAGCAATGCTTGACTTGCAGCCAATTGCTGGAGCGAAGTCATTGTCTTGCTATCCTGATGCCATGTTCGATAAAGGCCTTACAGGGGTTTACAGTCCAGGCACATGCCCTCATGGATGGACCACCGTATCACTGCGCGTTGATACTAGTGAGAACCGGGACGACGAGACAACGACAGCTATTTGCTGCTCATCGTAAGTCATGAGGGAAAGTGTTTTCACGTACCATTCTAATTGCAGTAGGGAATACACTCTGGATGGCAATTTGTGTAAACGTTCAGTTTCATCCGTGTTAGCTGTCCCTTACACGTACAATCAGACAGCTCAGACTTATGATGCTGTGTCTGACACACCAACGACTTTATATGGTGCAACAATTGCTGTTTATACCATCAGGGCTCTGTTCAAGGATAGCGACAAAGATGCACTTGGACTCAAGGATGAGGACGATATCCCAGGTACTGAGCATCATGGCCGATCCTTGTCCCTGGGCGCGCGCATCGGTATTGGTGTTGGTGTCGCGGTTTTTGTACTGCTTGCGCTAGGAGCACTTGCCTTTTGGCTCATTCGAAGAGAGCGAAAGAAGACGGAAAAGAGACGAGCACACGAGCTCGGCGCGGTGGGAAGCATGCGCCACACCTCACCAGGACCAGGAGATAATTTTTACGCCGCTGCGGACGCCATCCATCGACGTGACAGGAGCCGCCAGACCGCAGAGCCACCACCAGCTTACGAGGCTGCTACGGACTCAAACAGCATGACCGAAAACGATAGTAGGCTAAGCGAGGATACGGCGACGCGGGACGAGGAGATCAGGGCGTTGCAAGTCCAGAAAGAGGCGATTCAACGCCGTATAGAAGAGCTGGAGCGTTCTGAGACGCAGTCACAAGAAGACAACCGGCGAGATTAAGACTAGAATCAAGTGCGAATCATCGAATTCTGGAAGCGAGAAGAGAGCGAGGGATCATGACTTGGACGGGAAACGGCCTACACACCTATGATACCACTTTGCGCGGCCGTAGCATGTTGCTATGGGCTATTTTGCTTTTTTAACTACATACAATCATCTTACAGGAGGAAATATCCGAAAGTCTTTTTTTTGGAGTACGGCGGTTGGGTGGGAAAACATTGTTGAAATCCATACAATTTAATACCAAAGTTTTAAATTCTTGATTTACCAATGCTTGTAACAGAAGCTTCCTCCCCCTTTCTTGTAACTTGTAATAGAGTCAGGTGTTGATGCCGAGAACCATATAACAAGAGTCATTATGTTAGTTTTGACAACAGTGTTTGGCTCAGGGGGCTTGGTAGAGTAGGTGAAGCGTAGTATGAGATGGACAAAGTACATCGGTCAGATTCATTTACGACAATGATTTCTCAGACCATGCTGGGAACCACCCAAGCAACGCGCTCACAGACTCCTTCATTAATAGCAAAGAGGAGGCAAGAAACCTAGAACCTCTATCCTAAGTAAGAAAAAGGTTTAGGTAAATTTAATATAATTTAATATAAACTTAGTAGACCTCAGATTAGGTATTTCTAGCACCTTGGTTTAATATCAGATGTTTCTTGCTCCCTGTGGACAACTTACATTGGCAGTACATTGCCAATATTCACGTGAATAGCCTTGACGTTGTAGTAAGCCTCCAAGCCTGCCTCGCCTAGTTCTCTACCTATGCCACTTTGTTTGACTCCGCCGAAAGGCACTCGGAAGTCTGAGTCATTGCTGCTGTTCACCCATACCATGCCAGCCTCGATCCTACGGGCGACGTTGTGAGCCTTGCTGATATTCTCTGTAAAGAGCGCACTGCCGAGGCCATATATCGAGTCATTAGCCAATCTCACTGCTTCATCCTCGTCTTTGAACTGTAACACCACGGCGCATGGGCCGAAGATCTCCTCTCGGTAAATCCGCATCGACGGCTTAACGTCGACAAAGATGCTTGGGCTGATGAAGTACCCCTTTTTGAACTCAGGTGGCATACAGCCATCCAGGATATCATTTGCCCCCTCTTCCTTTCCAACCCTGATGTATTCTCGCACTCTGTCAAAGTGCGCTTTGCTGACGAGGGGACCGAGGTATGTTTTCTCTTCGAATGGTTGACCCACAGGATATTTCAGCGTTATTAATTTGAGGGCGTCGAGGAAGCGATCGAAGATCGTGTCCTGAACCAGAATGCGTGTTGTTGCTGTGCAGAGCTCTCCTTGATTGAAAGTGAAGCCAAGATGAGCCCATTGAGCGGCCAAGTCCAAGTTTGAGTCTTCGAACACAATCAAGGGAGACTTTCCACCGGTCTCAAGGGTGAGCTTCTTCATCCCGATACTGCCAAGGTTCATGAGCTCTTTTCCTACGCGCGTGCTTCCAGTGAATGAGATTTTAGATATTTGCTTGTGAGTTGCCATGGCGGCACCAACAACGGGGCCTAATCCATTGATGATATTGACTACACCAGGCGGAAAACCGGCTTCCTTGACTAATGCGGCCAGATAGAGGACAGAGAGAGGTGTAACTTCTGAGGGCTTCAAGATAACAGTGTTGCCACAACATAATGCCGGGGCCAGCTTGGTAATAGCCATATTAAGGGGGAAGTTCCAGGGAACTATCAAGCCACAGACACCGATAGGTTCTTTGAGTGTATACGCAAGCTTATCAGCACCAGTGTCGATGACTTGCCCAAAGGACTTGTCCGCATACCCGGCATAATAGCGGACAATCTTGATGGCGTCCTCAACGTCTCCTTCAAGTGCGATACTGTATGCTTTTCCAGTATTGAGGGATTCGGCACTTGCGAGAGACGTACCATTCTCCTCCATCAGGTCAGCTAGGCGGAACATGAGCTTTCCTCTATCAGTTCCTGACAATCTGCGCCAATCGGGGTGGGAAAAGGCATCAACAGCAGCTTGAACGGCCTCGTCGAGATCCTTCTCGCTGGCCAAAGCAACCCGAGCTATCTCTTCCTCCGTACTAGGGAGACATGTAAGAAAGTGAGCTCAAGTGAACTAAGAAACTCTGCTACTTACGCAGGGTCCACCACGGCAAGGGTTTTTGCATTGTTGGACTTGACGAATTCATTGTTGATGAAGAGACCAACAGGCTGTGCCCATTTATGGCCATTGGGAGCTGAGAGATCAACGAAAACAGGCGCCATCGAGGTTGGTTGTGTAAAGCCGGTGGTGATGATACTGATTCGGTGTTTGCGATTTGAGGCGACATCATCGTCACCCTTATACCGCAAACATGCAGGTTGAAGCAATTGATATCAAGCTTACTCCATCACTCATGAGTCAGTCATGTTCAATTGTGAAGATCCTTAAAATCATCCGATGGTGGAAATTGACCGACGGTGTATTTCCGATGGCAATTGACATCCGCGGAACGATCACTTGGTGTCCTCAAAGACCTATGAAGTGTAGAACCGTTCAAAAAATAAATAAAAATAATACCGAGATAGTTAGGACGAGATGAGAGAAACCTGGAGTAAGTAGGTGGTAGCTAATTTGCGTCTTGATATGTGCCTAGGTTTGCTAGTGGTGAAGCTCCATGCAAGCCCGAGATAGTACCTAGTAGATAGAGCTGAGATACAAATATCAACACCCTTACAACGCCATCGGTTATGATCTCATCTGAGAATCACATTCTCTCAATCTTTCATCTAGACAATCAAGATGCACCTTTACTCTCTCTTCACTTCTTTGGCCTTGAGCTCCTTTGTACTTGGAGATGCTCACCTGTCAAAGGCACCAACAAGCCCTTATTGCAAAGGAGAATGCCAGAAGGACTTTACTATGGGTTGAGAGATTGATGCTGGTAATTGGGTAGCTGCCAACCTCAGCCATGATCCATTCTGGCATCTTCCGCAGAACATCTCGACAGCCAAACCTGGTGATATCCTGCGATGGCAAGACATCGATGCCATTGCTGCCAGCACAAATTGGACCATTCCTGCTGGCGCGGCCCTTTCGCGGTTTCAATATGCAAGCGAGGATATTGATGGAGAGATTGTTGCTGCGAGCGCATTTCTTCTTATCCCATATGCGCCGCAAAATGGTGCCAAAAAGCTAAGGACATTGGTATGGACTCACGGCACTGCTGGCGTCGTCCCTATCTGCGCACCCACGAACCACAAAAATCTATATTACGACTGGGCAAGCACCATACTTTTTTGTGCAGCTTGGATACGCCGTCACCGCACCAGACTAGGCTGGCCTTGGAAGCACCACGCCCAAGGGATTTCAGTACGTAGCAGGCTGGACTCACGCTGCTGATGTGGCATTCAGTGTTATCGCTGCTAAGAGGAGAATAGGGGCACTTCTCTCTGACGGATGGGTGACTGTCGGCCAGAGTGAAGGTGGCATGACTGCTTGGCGTGTAAACGAGAGGCTGGCGCTGTCTGGCCAAGATGCTCTAAGGAAGGCCGGGAACTTTCTCGGTTCAGTCGCCATCGCCCCGGCCAACCGGGTTGACGATGGAGTTGTCCCTATCAAGTTTACGGCCGAGGATTACAAAAAGACCTGCAAAGAAGAGCCTGGCTCTTCAATCAGACTTTTGACATACGCGGGCCAGAACCACGACAGTGTTACTAACTCCGCTCAGGCTGACTATATGTCATGGGTCAACGATCTGTTCAATGGAAAGAAGATGAAGAAGGGCTGTTCGCGGGTGGATATTCCTCCTTTGACAGATCTGTTTCAACCAGTGGCCATCCAATATATCGCCAACATGTAAATTGAGGTGCGAGTTGCTGGATTTCCTGGCCACGAAGCTTGATCTTCCATTATGTATGCGGCGAGAAGCGCAGTTTTAGTTGGTATGCGTCATGGGCACGGATTTTGTTAGAGGCAGCTTTGAAGTATTACTATCCTTAACTGTTCAGAGCATCAATTTATACCAGAGTCAGTATGTAGGCCACGCATGTCCAATACTATTCAGCATATGTTCTTTTCGTCCAGACAACATATATCTCGATTTTAGCTACACAGGGCTATGTTATCTTGAATGAAATTGCGAAGCTGAGAACGGGTTGGACATAAAGCCTCGACATCGCAACTACTAAGGCATGGTAAGTATACGTTTCTGCCTTAGAACCTCTTTGGGGATACCAACTTTTTAGAAACATTGTATCGGTTAACTCGACTATTCGGAAGAGGGTTGGTCTTGAGATTACCTCTACGGAATACGTGGTGAAATTGACGAAGGAACTTCACCTAAAAGCCTCAAACCCGTGTGAGTCCATTGGCTGATTCTAAGTTGACATTTCCACCGAATATCTGACGCATGTGGTATGAAAGAGGAGAAAAAGGTGGCTTTAATATGCCGACGGCGCATTCTTACTGCGGAGTTCTCCACTGTGCTCCAAGATCTTATCACCGTAGCTAACCTGGGATGATCACGAAGCAACTAACCGCGCCTGGGGACGGTGGGGAATATACCAAATAGTTACCACTCCTATTGTATAAGATAGAACTCTCGACTACTAGATCTGAATAAATGCACATGACTATTATTGAGTGTGATACAGCAAAAAGGAAGAAACCCATACCAGCCATCTTATCAAAGCGTGAACTATTTCTTAACCTCATCGAGTCATGTCTTTAGACTCGGGCACTCAATTTACTTCCAGTAACCTGGAGAAGGCCATGGATCATGGCAGGCCTGCGTTGTCCCCAGCGAGCTTCCCACTGACACCCAACGACGCCAAGTGCTATTGGATTGAGAACTTCCCCATCAGCTTGGACGACCGTTTTGCGTCAGCTCCTCTACCAGAAGAGGTCGATGTTGCCATTATTGGTTCTGGCATCACCGGCGCCGCAGCTGCATACAGACTTTCTCAGAAACAGCCCGAACTGCGTGTAGCTGTCCTTGAAGCTCGCAGTCTCTGCTCTGGCGCGACAGGTCGTAACGGTGGCCATATTGGACGTCCAGAAGTCTATGGCTATCGCGAGCTGGCAAAGACCTTCGGTACTGAGGATGCCCTGCGTATGAGAAAGATGGTGCTCAAAAACAGAGACATGATGATTGAGTGTATTTCTCAGCTCGATGCTGCAGAAAAGGTTGATCTTCGTCTCAATGGCACTATGGTCGTCTTCGCAAGCCAAGAGGAGCGTCAAAAGTTTGAGGACGATCTGAATTACGCCCGTGAGCAAGGGTACGAGGAGGAATGCCGCATTTTGAGCCCAGAGGAAATCTTGCAGGTATGAAAGCAGAAGCTATCGCTCGACCCTTGCTGTTGTCTTCATACTCCGTTTTAATGTCCACCCCAGCTCATACATCCTTCTATGGCAGAAAATCTCCATTACCTCTGAAGCGGCTCAACATGGTGCCGCATATCTCGAGAACTGTGGCACCATGTACCCCAGGAAGTTCGTCAACGTGCTCTTTGAGGCCGCGCTGGAAAGAATGCCAGCCCTCTCACTGCACCCCAATACGCCCGTCTCCCAAGTTTCTTGCGTCACAATAGACTCAACCCAGCATTACCGAATCACAACCAGCACTGAAAAAGTTGTCAATGCTAAGGTCGTCCTCCATGCCACCAATGGTTATGCAAACAACCTCTTGCCTGCCCTTAGAGGGAAGAAGGGCGTTGTGGGCTGTATGGCTCACATGCTCGGCGTACAACCACCAAAGATTGCGAGTACACAGCTTGACCAAGGGTTTGGATACGCTGACTTTTGGCACTGGATTCAACAGGCACCACAGGGAGGCCCTTTTTTGTACGGCCTTGCTACTGCAGAGCGTATGAACTACTACGACGACTCTCAGACTATCCCTGATGATGACCCGGTGAAGAAGGAGATGTTACGATTCCTCAAACAGACATTCGGCAAATGGTTCCCAGGAGTTGAGGTGGAGCCGTACGTCAAGTATGACTGGACAGGTATCCAAGGATTCACTGTAAATGGTGCAAGTATTGTTGGTCGGCCGAACAAGGATAGCTTGGGTGAATTCATATCTGTGGGACACAATGGTGAGGGAATGACGAGGTGTTTCACTTGCTCAACTGTCGTAACGGACATGATGCTCTCTTTCTTGGGTGGAGAAAACGGTTTCCAGATTCCTGAATGGTTCCCCAAGGCATTCGTGAGAGATTTGGCAGGCATCGGCAAGCTTGATTATAGCTGAACCCAAGAATCCCCTAGCCATAGTTTATAGTCAGAATATATTCGACAAGTGTAGATCGACTAGGGTGAGAACGCCTAGCCATAGTGTCTATTTATAGACCTTATGATCAGAATAATTCAATGCTTAACTCGAAACAACCAGGTTGGCAAATGCGAGCGTTGGGCGAACAAATTCTTTCGATCGCACTTGTCCGGGCTTGCCGATCCTGCAGGAATCGAGAATCAATAGGGTAGCGGTTCATGAACTGTGAGCTTTCGACAACAGGTTGCTTTGGTGACCGAAGAATGCCATGCCCCCCTGACGCCCATCGATAGAACGCCAATTCATTCAGTGTCCTGTTGTAGTCAGAAGATAAACCTGGACTCCCTAACGTGGCAGAACTGGATAGGCATGTCTGAATGTGCTTGATAAGTTCCACGTCAAATCGTGTGCCCTGCTTAAACGTTTCAAGCGCCCTTAAGTGGCGATCAGCAGAGGCGAGAAGTGTGGGTGGCATTGTAGCCATAGCCTCGTGGGAATCCAAAGAGCTGTCGAATTCCCTAAGCGCAAGGCAGGTGACCACAGACGAGGTGAGAACGAGGAAAGCTGTCGCGGCAGATATAGTATGACAGCTGGAATCGAGGAGCATAAGGACAGGAAGGGCCTATTTAGAGGCTCTGATTAGCATTGCCACGGAAGAACAGGCAGGCTGGACACTCATCTCATACCTCTCTCAGCAAGATGGAATGATCCAATGCATATATGAACTCGGCAGTTGAAGTCAATTCATCACTCGTCAGGAGCAGGAAGAGATCACGATCAATGACTTTCTCTTGTATTAGCTTGAAGGTATTTGGTACCCGGCCCGTTGACTTCAACCACGTACATGTGAGCATGAAGATCCCATGAAACCAAATCATGGCTTCTGCCTGATATGCGTGTTCCAGACACTCATACTCAAGAAGTGTAGTTGGAAACCGAATAAAGTATGCCTCCAGCTCATCTCGAATCTCATCTAGAGCCGATGAGTCGTGGGACGAGGTGGTGACTTTCTGTAAAGGTCTTTGTGGATTGTCAGCACAATTAGATCATCGAAACATGGTAAGATGAGGAGGTAGTACATACTGAACCAAAGGCATAAATAATGAGAAGAAATCAGTTGGCAAATTAGTTGGGGAGTTAACGCTAATCCATCCGGGGCTCAAAACCTCGTGCTGAAGATCGCCAGGCAAACTCTGGAAGCCAGCAGAGGCAGTCGGTGGCTTGTAGTGCAGCATGCTAAGGACTCTACAGCCTCAGAGAATCGATTTAGCGTCCTTCTCAGAAAACGGGAGGAGATAGACACGGAAAAGGAGAAACTTACGCGTTCTGGAGTTCGATTGCTTTTCCAACTCTGAGTCACTTTGGTAAGCTGAAGAAATAGAAGAAGCAAAGACATAAGCATACCTGGCAAGAACATTTCTTTGCAGCGGATCTAAATTACCCATTCTCACAAGATCGTGCCAAATCAGGCCTGCTATCGCATTCCAGCGACAGGCAATCTCAGCCATGCCGCTCTGAAGGCACCATGTGTGGCTGGCAAGCAGGAGCGACATAGTCTGTGATATATTTATATCGGAGGATTTCCAGGCGAGCATTGGCATGAGTTTGAGTGACTCTATACGCAGTGTATCTATGAGTAGTTCCAGAGAATATTGTACGTCGATAGGGAGCCAAATAAAATTCAACTGCAGCCCAACTGCAAGAAGCATCAATGCAAGTTCACGTGGTTGACCTTCTGACTGGTTAAGCAATGACGTTGGCGACATGTCTGGGGGAAGATGAGACAATATGGCAAAGATTCCGAGCCGCGCTGACTGATCAAACACTTGTGAGAGAATATATTGGGCCGTTTGTATATCGAGGCCCAGAGCAAAAGCCTCATCCAATGAGGTAACTGTGGCATGTATTTCAGAGTGAAGATGTGTCGTTGACTCCTCATTATGGTGCCTTGGTATGAGTTGTTCGACCTGTGTGTGGCCTTCAATATCGATTGCGGAATCCCCATGGTTTGATGTAAGATTGTCAGGCGGGATGTCATTCGATTGAGCCGAGTTATCTTCTTCTGGCCCGGTTGATAGCTGGTTTGGTATATCGCCACTTGATGATATTGAGTCCTCTCTCGCCACGTTATCTGTACGAGGATGGTCCGTCGAGTCTTCTCTTCTTGGAGATGAAAACTCGAGCTGATCAGCAAAGGGATCAGAGCCGCCTCCAGTCTCGCGTCTACGCCCAGAATTCAGCCTTGGTCTGCCTGGGCGACGAACAGGTCGCTTATAAAGACATGCTGTTTGAAGCCGTCGGCAACGAGCGCATGGAGATTGTCCATCACACTGCGTTTTCTATGAAGAATCAGCGCCAAGTTTTCGGAAAGAAGTGAGAATGAGGTCCTATAGCAACTCACCAAGAGCCAGCATCGATCACATGCACGCGCCATAGAAAATGAAGCGTGTTCAAAATGTTGTTATAGATAAGGAGGAAAGATTACATGGAAATGAATGACTGAACGAGTCTGGGCCCTGCCTGTCTGGAGCAAATTAGTAGCGACTACTGGCCGTTTTAGCACGGGTTACACACTATAGCCTTAGTGGCTAGGCACCTACCTACCTTAGGTAGGCAATGTACCTACTATCTACCCCTCTGATGCCCCGAATCTCTCTACTTCCTTCAAACAACCAGTCGATGCTCTATACCATGTCCCCATCAACATCTGGTTCAGACCCAACAAAGTTCAATTCTGAACAGTTTGGTCCTGCTTGGAGCCAAGGGCCCATCCTCTCTGGAGCAGAGAATCAGAGCTTGTGTCGAGGTTAGTGCTCAATTTGAGAAATCAAGTAGCAGGGAAGGAATATATCCATTCCCATAACCCTCTCCCTATTCCATGATTGTATTCCCCAACGCGGCAGTCATGATTTGCTTGCTTGACCGAGCGCTGATTTGGTCCTTGATTACTCGTAGTCATAAGGCGGAGCAGACGTGCCTTCGGTGCTGTTGATAAATCCTCACCCTCTTTATTGCGAATGATACTGCCGCTGTGCCTGAAGTCATCATCCATCAGACATGGTTTACTATCTCTTGCCTCCAACCCATCGGAGCGCTCGCCCACGGACCTGTATCATTACCAGATGGCTTTGACACAGCTCCGTGGGGATATTGGCGCAGCCAGTGGGGATAATGTTGACATCGAGTGGATTCATCAGTTGTTGGCCTCATCGTTGATCCTCAGCTTCTTCAACTTCTCCCAATGCGATGGTTATTCGATACGTCATATCCGTGGCATGATTAGCATCGTTAGGATGACGGATCAGGCACTTCTCGCCTCTACGCCTCTGGGTCGCTTTCTCATGGGTGTATGTTCATATCACGACATTTCAGCGTTTTGGATTGGTAGAAAACAACCATCACAGAGGGCTTGGACATCTTGGATGTCGCATCGCACCCATACAGAACTTGGCGGGGACTTGACTGCCTTGGAGAGCATGATGGGGTATCCCGAATCTCTTGTGAATATCATCGCTGATGTTGCCGAACTTGTTGATGATAACATTTACTTGGAACTTGAGAACAGGGCTGATTTGAACAATGGCCAATTCGTGTCAAGTTTCACACAAGGTAAGAGATGATTGCCCGCATTGCCCTATCAGACTTCAATGAAGCTCATGTTCTATTACCGAACAGCATCACCGCTTGCTTATGGCAACGCAAGCGATGAACTTGAAGGTTCGTTAAAACGCTGGGCTGTGCCGTTGGTCCCTCAAGGTCTGTCACCTGTCGCTGGTATGGTCCTGCGCAGTGCCTGGGAAACCTTTCGGTTGGCTGCCTATTTGTATCTATGGAGATGCTTTGGTTTCCATGCAAACCATTTGGAGCCTTTTAGAGCGGACCGCAGTACACTCGCCAGAGCACATGTGACGGCAATTATCTCCAACTGCGAGGCTATACTTCGCCTGGGCTCCATCCCACGAGTCTCTATTGGGAACGCATTACTCTGGCCGCTGGCTGTGGCAGGGTGTGAATGCGGTCCAGGGTCAGATCATGATGGACAGACAATTCTTGATATGCTTCAGAGTCTTGAGCGTCTTTACAGCATGGAGCACCCGAAGTATGTGAGGCAAGCTCTCCAGAAACTGTGGGCTGCTAAAGGGACCTGGCTGAATTATCAACAAACTTCCGCGGACTCCGCGAGACCACCTGCTAGCCTGAACCAAATCGTCACCGAAATGAAACTGGTGATTCCGCTTCTCTGAGGGGGAAGAATCGGGAAGAATCGCGGATGGTTTGGAGTTGAACTAGGGCCAATATGATGTTGACTCTCCTGAGATGAACCCAGAAATGTCTTACGTTGCCACGAACTTTTGTTTCTACCTCGAATGAAAACAACGGAACCCCAAGCTAATGCCCCAAGTCATTACTTTACGGCCAATCTGTTCCCGCTAGGATAACACGCACATATGCAAACCATGTTTGCCAGAAACAAAGCCGACGGTTTTCCAACAACACTCATGCCTGCTTGCCATGCAACAATCCCAGCAGAATGGAGCGGCCCCGCAGAGCCTCCACTCCCCCCGTCATGAATGTGGACGCATAGATCCCTGCTAGTTCGATGTGGCTCCTCTTCTCTTCCAAACCTTAGCTGAAGATGCCTAGGTACGTATCTCGAAAAAACCCTCCGCCGGTGGTTTTTGTGATTGTGGTGATGTGACCTTTCTTCTGAACTTGATGGTTATGTCTCATTGCCTACGTAATAGGATGATCAATCGCATTGCTCTCTATCAACGTTTCGCGTACGGAATATTTGTTAGATGATGGACCAACACGGCTGGTTGCTGGATGGCCAGGCTGGATTACCGATGTGTGAATGTAAGGAGTTGGATAGAAGCAGGCTTGTTTCGTATGATTCCCAAGCAATCGCAAACGAGCTGCCCGGTTTCTCTCCTTCACGTATTTGTTAATACAGGATACTGACTCTGTTGAACCTCTGTTTCTTTCAGTTTTCAATCTAAGTCCCGATCTGCTGTTCCTTACATGATATTCAATACGCATATTTCCTCACTCCGGCCAGAAACATGACCAAAAACGCCACAGCAAGACACTGTTTGGCTCTTTCAACCTGGAGAGATGTCACAGCTCAACGCCAATCTGAGAAGGAGAGGATCATACAGGAGTGGTCAGAGCGGATACTAGGGACTCCAATCCCTCTCATGCCTCACTTAACAGTCACAAACGTGGTAGAATGGCCTTACAAGAGTGGTCAGCTGAGTGCCCGACAAATCGAGATAACGGATTCTGAACCAAGCCAGCTATTGAAGATGTTGGCCTCTGGGGCTTGGACGGCCCAGGAGGTTCTTCTGGCATTTATCGCCCGGTGCATCATTGCCCATCATCTTACCAACCCACTAACCGATCCCATGTTTGATCAAGGTTTCCGCCGAGCTGTAGAGCTCGATGATTATCATCGTAGAACAGGCAAGACTGTTGGGCCGTTTCATGGGTTGCCAATTAGTTTGAAAGATGTTTTCAATATCCAAGGAATGCCGACGACTCTTGGTTTTGTTGCCCGAGCAAATGCACACCCTCTACACTCTGACGAGTTGGTCAATCGACTCTCAGCGGCTGGAGCTATATTTTATTGCAAGACGAATATTCCCCAGTCTCTTATGTCTGGCGAATGCCATAATTTTCTCTTCGGACGAACAGCGACACCGTATAACACTACCTTGTCTGCAGGAGGGTCAAGCGGGGGCGAAGGCTCACTAATAGCGCTTGGAGGCAGCCCTCTAGGAATTGGAAGTGACATTGCTGGATCGATTCGCACACCGGCAAACTTCAATGGCATATACGGCTTATGCCCCACGAATGGTCGATTCCCTCTGCATGACGCCGAGCAGTCGAACGCTGGGTATCTTATCAATGGTGTTGCAGGACCATTGTCAAAAAGCATTGACGGGCTGGAAGTATATGCAAGAACATTACTATCTCTGAAGCCATGGGAGTGGGATTCTGCATGCGAGCGACTCCCGTGGGATGAACAAGTCTATCAAGAAACCCTGCTCATTGGACTGAGCGGGAAACGACAGCTCTGTATTGGCTTCGTTGCAAACGACGGGATAGCCACCCCACATCCCCCTATTCAACGAGGAATGAGAGAAACGAGGGCTGCTCTGGAAAAGGCTGGAGTTCAAGTAGTGGATGTCCAGCTGTTCGACGGAACGGAAGGCATGTGGGAAATGATCACACGTATTTTCAATGCAGATGGAGGGAAGGCATTCAGAGAAGAGATTGCCAAGTCTGGAGAGCCCATATCCGAGGACATTGAGCTCGCCAACCCACAGGATGCAATGAGTGTACGCCAACTTCTTGACCACGGGAAGAAGATCCTGAAAATTCGGCAAAATATACTTAGCAGGTGGCAGAGAACATCATCCTTGACAGCAACAGGGCGACCGGTAGATATGTTCGTCCTACCTTCAGGGTGCCACGTTGCCTCTCCACATGGAACCATGAAGTACTGGCTCTATGAGGCCATTTCCAATATCCTCGATTGGACATGTGCTACAATTCCTGTTGGACATGTTGACCTTCTCAAGGACCCAAAGCCCGGCAATGGCGGGGACTTTAAGCCTCTGTCGAGTTTAGATCGCGATAATTGGAATCTATGTAAGTGTTCCTCGAGGGACGACCCTTCAGAGACCTCAGAGGCCACCCCTTTCCTTGCTTGTGTGCTCCTGTGCTGACCAACGATACAGACTCCCCTGAGCTGTATTCGGATGCTCCTATTTGCCTTCAGGTATTAGGGCAGAAATTCACGGAAGAGAAGGTCTTGGCGTGCTTGAGAGTTATTGAAGCATCATTGCTAGCATCTAAGCAGGTGGCACGTAATTAATATGTATAAGGAGAGAAGCCAGGATAGAGTGGCATGATCTTTGCTCTAAGTAGGAGAGTTACTGGGACGGAACGGCCAACAGCTGGTCCTGTCACATCTTGCTTTCCAATATAATGGGATTTCCAATATTCGAATAAACATTGGCTCCAGGGAGAATCTCTATAGAATATTATTTACAAAAGCCCTTTTAGATACACTCTTGTGGCATCTTCAGCGTTCACGATCTCTAATCATAATCATCAAGAGACTTGTGTGAATGAAATTGCGACACGTAAGGTGCTTTCGGCGATGACAGGCTCCCAAAGAAGTCCATACAAAGCAAGATCGTAATTTGCCAAAAGGACCAGGATGCGATGGCTTCCAATCCACTGCGGTGCAGCAGTATTATGCCGGCGGATGAATTCCTTTGGATCCATGTGACTTGCCACCTAGAGGCTACCCAGAAAGATGCGGTTTGCCTACCTCCCTCTCAGTACAAGGCAAAGTTTGGTAGGAACGCTTCTCCACAGAATCTACTCCTGGTGATTCATAAAGCTGATCACGTAAAATCGCGGGTTTACTCCTGCATAGGCAAATATATATGGCTAACTGTTAGTCTATCCTCAAGACCATTCAACCTCATATACTCCCGCCAAGTTAATTTGTCCTTAAACGTCTGATATGGACCAGGATAGTCTTCCGATGACCCTGGCTATGGCTACAAATGTCGTGGTGATCACGGATGCTGGCACTCTAGCCCCAGAGATAAAGGACGAAATCGGAGCATACAGTGATATTGTTGGCTCAAGGTGAGCCAGACTATATCCATTGTCAAAAGAATCATTTCTCACAGTGGTTTATAGATCAGATGTCAATGCACCAATCGTGGCTGGTATCTGGGACCTTTTTGACAGAAAGACACCGACCGAATCATTTACAGCAGAATGGGATGAAATGAAATACATCGTAAAGGGTAGGTTTATTCTTCTTCAGTCTCTCCTTACTTGCCATGGCCATCGACTGACAATTTCATTGCTTGATAGGCACTGCCGTAATAACAGATACTGTCACAAACCAATCCTACGAATTGAAACCTGGAAGCCTCCTTTGGATTCCAAAAGGCTCACGAGCCTCGTTCACAAAGTCGAAAGGCCTTTCAACCATTTATGTTGAACAGAGACACGGCGAAGGGAACTTCAAAACGGGTAGCGAGGCCAAAGCATCCTGCGACTTGCGCAGCAAACTCGCTACATTAATCGACAACTTCGTTGCAGAGAACCCTTCATCTCTGGCCGCCCATAAACGAGCCCAGGAGACTCTAGCTGGCGGAAACACGCGATCAGTTCTTCATGGAGACCCGTTTGCGCTTTACATGGAGGGCGGACAGGGTCCTTACCTATACTCTGTCGACAAGAGAGAGTATCTGGACTTTGTATCAGACTATTCGGCAGCGTTCTACGGACACTCGAACCCCGCTATCGCTGAAGCCATCAGCAGTGCCCTGTCTACTGGCTTCAGCCTGGGTAGTGTCACCCGTAAAGAGTGTCATCTTGGCGAGCGCATTAAGAGAAGATTCCCGAGCATGGAGAGAGTTAGGTTCTGTAATTCTGGCACCGAAGCCAACACCTGCGCATTAGTTACAGCCACGGAATTCACCGGCAGGACAAAGGTCAGTGCAGAGTCTGCGGAGGGCTATCCCTGAGGCCCTGCGAAACTAATTTATTCTCTTCCTAGATACTGGTGTTTGATAATGGATACCACGACGGTACCCTAAATTTTGGTTCAGGGGACAACAAATTAAACTTTCCTCACGACTTCATTTTTGGTACCTACAACAACATAGAGGCCAACCAGAAGCATATATCATCAGATCTAGCAGCTATCATTGTCGAACCGATGCTTTCAGCAGGCGGTCAGATTCCCGCTACTCGGGAGTTCCTCTCCTTTCTGCGCAAAACAGCTGACGTAACTGGTGCAGTTTTGATATTCGATGAGGTTGTGACATCTCGCCTACACATCAATGGACTTCAAGGATTCCACAAGATTATGCCTGATATGACAACTCTTGGACAATACATTGGAGGGGGCCTCCCTTTTGGAGCTCTTGGGGGGCGCTCCGACATCATGGCTCTCTATGAGACGAGAACTCAGAAACTGAGCCACTCTGGAACATTCAATAACAATGTTTTCACTATATCAGCTGCCCTGGCTGCAATTGAACTGGTCTCGGAGGACGAAATTCATCGCGTCAACAAACTGGGGGACACTATTCGAAACAAGATCTCAGAGATCTGTGCAGCGCATCACCTCTCTGATCTTAGAATTACTGGCTTCGGAAGCGCCATAGGACTACAGTTTCTTCGTGAAGATAGGGACCTGCTGAAGGGGCTTTTCTTCTATTACATGTTACAGCATGGGATTTGTATCGGCCGCAGAGGTTTTCTTTTTCTGAATATGTGCCACACGGAGGATCATGTTCAGCGTTTCCTGACGGCGTTTCAGAAGTTTGTAGAGGAGTTCAAATAAAATAATTTGCCTTCGCAGTATTGCAATGATAGGTAAACTCAAGCATTGCTTCGCAATTGTACATGCATTTTGCTGCTGGGCTCATAAGGTTCTCAAAGAGGCCTGCCCTCATGATTGTGGCCTTTGAAATAGAAGTTTAGGCGATATCGGAGGCGAAGGAAGGCATGTTTATTATCGAAAGAGCACCATGTATAGTTATTAATCAGGTCTACAGTCTCATAAACTCTATTAATATACCTCCAGTTTCTTGAGAGTCTATCTTGAACTTCATGTTAACTATGCTATGTTATCCATGATCTCGAGGTCTATCGGGTCTTTAAGTCGTGAGGTCAAATTGAAATAAGTAGTAGGAACGCGGGGATCAGTTGGTTCACCAAGAAACTTCTCACAAAAAGCCTTACAACTTAGAAAAATGCGCGCCATCCCTAAATTACCTTCATTAGCAAAGAAATCTTTTCAGTTACCTTACTGGACTGTTAGACCTACCATGTCCGTGATATCCACCAGCCAGATATTGACCAGGCTTGCCTGGAAGTTCTCCCAAAAACGGAAGAAGATCCTTACTCAGGCCCATGATGCCACTCCAGGAGAATGCCACGGCACCTTCGGGGCTAGTTCCAGAAGACTCCCTAGACTCTTCCCAATCTCTGAATATTTCAACTGGTGCATTCAAAATGTAGGACTCGACTTCAGACACGACATGACGGTCATCGCAGTCACCGAAGCCGCCTGAGAGACCTTTGGGATGAGCAACCTCGCCACCGCCCCAGATCAGGTACTTTTCAGGACCTGGTCTTTGGATGAGATAGTCGTAGTCGTCATTGGATATGAAAGCAAAAGATGTCGTGAGGGGCTGGTCCATGTAAGCCGGTGGGGGCGTGATGGCAGAAACATGACCTTTGAGGGGGATAATTCGCCCATCAAGCTCAGGCAGGAGGTACGAAGCATAGCCGTTGGTTGCATGGATAACCTTATTTGCCATCACGACCCCGCGGGGTGTTGAGACCTTCCAAGGTCCTGGAGTGTCGGGAGAGACACTTGTGACAGGGGTATTGGTGTGAAGACTTAGTCCCAAGTCGAGCCCCTTGCGTAAAACGGCGATTGCGAGTTTATATGGCCACAGGCTGGCAGCTGGGAAGGTGATGGCTCCATAGCAGCCCTTGACCCGTAGAGACTCCTCAGCTTCTGCTTTGCTGAGTACGTTGATATCGGAGACATCGCCGCCAGATTCTTTGAAGCCATTGTACGATGCCAACCCGGTTTTCCAGGACTCTGGGGTCAGGTAGACGTCGGCTGAGCGATACTGTACCAGATCAACTTCCGCAGCTAGATTATTCTCTTGGATGAATTTTGCGGTTTCTTGATAGTTGACGGCTTCAAATTCGCACTGAGCCTTTGCAACATCAGTACCATGTAAGATAGAGTACGATGTGAAGCCACGATAGCAATCGGGCTTTATATGGCCGCCTAAACAGAGGAGAGGTAAGTACCATACGGTGATAATTCATTGATCGGTGTGACGTCTGTCACTCACCATTTCTTCCAGTAGCACCACTCGCTGCGTTGCGGGCCTCCAGCATGACTACAGACTTTGGTCTGTTTGGTGAGCTGGAACTGAGCAACTGGTGGGCGATGAAAGCACCAGACAACCCGGAGCCGATGATAACAACATCAGCAGAGGTGGGAAATTCAGCACTATGGTTATGATTCCAGTCAGTCCGATATTGATCTAATCATAAAACTTTCACATCTCCTCACTAGCAAGACTAGGTCCAAAGATTGTAAAGCTTGTAAGGGCTGTTCATAGGCTACTGCTTACGATTGGTATTTACTGATCATCGGGTCCGGCTCGCTCTGCCAGAAGGACTTAGTCGGATTATCAACTGGCAGAGACGCCAGATAACCAGTAGGTGACTGCATGAGGTCGGGTTGGTTTGAACTACCTCGGAAGTGACCGGTGAAGTAAGAAGCTGAGAGAAATTATATTGAGCCCCTGAGACAGTGTTCTTGTTGAGCAGTTGCTAATGATACTGTTGTCAATAGATAATCGTCTTTTATCTGGGTGGCTAACTACAATGTGGTGATATCGTGCCGCAAACCGATGCCGAGATTCTGATGGATACTTCGTACCACGGGAACAATGCGTAGAGGGGCTGCCAAAACCATCCGACGGCCTATTTATGCGTATCTTGTTCTCGACGATCAGGACTAGCGCATATCTCAGTTGAAGCTATCTATCTAGGTATGGATCCAATGAATGATTACCCCGCGATCAGATACAGCTCAAGTAGGGTTAGGTGATACCTGAAAGATAACTGTATCTGGGGTATGCCTATCTACTGCGATTGGCCAACAATGTTCTTGATCTTGTCGTCTCTAGATGATATATATCTTCGATGGTACTCGGGAGGCTTGTTCTCTGATCAGAGGGATAAATTCATCCCGAGCCTTTCTCTATTCTATCATTTGTCTCTATTGACTTTTCTTCACCTTGAATAAATTTTCAGCACTTTCAGCTTGAATCGAAAGCTGGTAACTCACAATGGCATCTATACTTGATAGAGACCCTGATGCCGGCAAGAAGATGGATCCTCGCAACTCCATCGCGTCCGACTTTGCTGAAGATGCGGTTGTTCACGATTTTGGTTACAGCCCCTCATACGCAAGAGTCTTTCGTTCTCTGGGCGCCATGTCACTCACAATGGCTATGGCTTCGTAAGTCACCAAGTTACCTCTACTCGATACTCGTGATACTTGCGACAAAGGCCCGATCAAGTATTTACTGAAGACTAACAATAGTCATAGACCCATGTGCGGCATCTTCATAGCTGTCTCTTATCAAATCAACTATGGCGGCTATTGGGGGCTGACTTGGTATGAATATCTCTTATGCAAACTGGTCTGTAACTCAAACAATGAGGACTCTGCGCTGACCGTAAATATTCAGGGGCTGGTTTATCCCTTCATTCCTTTTTCTCCCATGGGCTCTCACAACCGCAGAGTTCTGTTCATCGATGCCAGTCAATGGTGCCAACTATTGGTGGACAGCTGCACTCGCACCTCCGTCGATATCCCGTCCTCTGTCTTTCATCGCAGGCATGGCCAACATCATGAATGCCCTTACAAGCATTGCCAGTTTTGCTTGGGCATCGTCCAGCTCAATCTGCACCATCATCGGCCTCTTCACCGGCTGGATACCGACCAATCCTATCATCTTTGCGGTCGCCATAGCTACCTGCGCTGTATGGTTTTTCACGGCATCTATCAGGATGGATAAAGCCAGCCTTGTTTTTATCTCGTCGGGTACGCTTCCAAACCTGCGTCCTTTCATCTCATGCCTTATCATTTTGATTGACCCAGAGTAACAGCAACCCTTGTTCTCGTCTCCTCGGCCTGTTTTGTCATCGGACTCCCCGTCGCTCAAAAGACCCAGGGTATTCCTTTTACTTCTGCCGCTACCGTCTTTGGAGACTACACCAACTACAGTGACTGGGGCAGACCTGTTTCTGTCCCGTTCACCTTCTTTTGTGCCGCATGGGTCATTACTGGTTGGAATGCACCATCAGCCGTGGCAGAAGAGACTCACAATGCACGAATAGTTGCACCTCGCTCCATCATCAACACGTATTGTCTACAAGCAGGCATGGGAATGCTGTTCTGCATCTTGTTAGCTTTCTGTATTACCGACATGGAAGCAGCGGCATCTGACCCTACGTAAGTCTCTCATTTCACTAGTGAACTGGTGCCGTGTTCTGCCTGGCAGCACGAGACGTTACCCATATGTGCAAACACTAATCGGCTCCCTTTAGCGGCTACGCTGCCTTTACTCTTCTAATAGATCGCTGGGGTCTCAGGGTCGCGGGAGCTTTCCTGCTTATCATCTTCCTGAACACCTCTATCGGTGGCGCGGCCGTTTTGGTCATGATGTCCTGTCAGACAGCTGCCTTTGCACGGGATGGGGGAATGCTCTTCAACGACAAACTCTCATACGTCTCGCCCCGGAGCAATATGCCAATTTACACAACGATGTTTCTCACGATTGGCGGCATGCTTATGCTATGTCTGGGATTCTCTCCTATTGCTTCCGAGACCATCTACTCCCTTGCTGTCATTGCGATCATGGTATTGTACGCACTACCCATGATATTCAGAGTTTTCGACAATGGACGATGGGTTCCAGGCCCTTGGAATATGGGCAGATTTAGCAAGCCTGTTCATGTCTTGGGTTTCTTGACGGTCGTCTATATGATGATAATGGAATGCTTTCCTCCTCAGGCAAATTGGACTGGAGCGACGCTGAACTATAACTGGGCCGTGTTCATGGGTGCTGTATTACTCTCTACCCTCCTGTGGTTTTCTCATGGCTCCCGTTCTTACAAGGGGGTTGACCAAGAAATGCTGAGGGCTTGGAGAGAGCGGGAGCATGACCGTGATTTGAACCAGGAAGGTTCTGGCCAATCGCGTAGCGAAACATACATTGAAGGAGTGAAGCCTTAGGCATTTTCATCGTGAAAGATGAGCATTCCATTCTCTGTCCGTTTACTCTACTGCCTGATCCTTTGCTAGCTATCTAGCTTCCAGTTTAAATCAATATTCTTAATTACCTCTTCTATGGCTATTTCAGTCATATACCAGCTCTAGGTTGTCCGTCCCAACAAGCTCGAGAAAAGCAATATGAGAATGCTGAATTCAAGCAATGGGTCTCCAGTGAGTTCTTCTGCTTAGGTGTGGTTTGTTGAAGCAGATCGGTCGAAGTTACGGCACGGATGATACCAAGATTTGCTTCAAGAGTGTTTGACAGCGTCTGGGATGTAGATGATCTTGGATGCCTTTCAAGGGCAATGTGTCTGGGTAGCCAATGCTTCACTAGGTTTACTTGGTTCACGACGGTTAGTGCTCGTTACCATGAATCCTTTGGCCTTTTTTTTGGAGTATCCTACGTCGTGCAAAGTCGTAATCTCCATGAGATATATAAACGTTTGTTATTGGCTTATTTACTGCTTGTATCGCTGTCCATTCCGACTATTGAATATTTTCAGGATAGGGTAGCGCCTACATTAGTACCTAAAGGGCTTATATACATGATTAAACGATGGCAGAGCCGTTGCCAAACGATATCGATATCAAAGGTTTGACCGTAACTTTAATCTCTCGAGTGGCAGCGCCATTAAAGAAACAAAACGAGGACCCATTCAAATCCGCCGAATACGATTCTAGATGTGTATTAGGGAGGCAAGAAAGCCTAGAGGACCTTTATCTTGAGTGACAAAGATTGCCAATAGAAAGGTCTCCTAAATTTACACCGAATTCACCTACATCTTTTTCTTATTTAGATTACAGGCCCTAGGTTTTTGTACCTCCCTGAGGGCCGACAATCTAAGGGTAGTTCTATAACTCAACACTCACGAACAGGACTTCCAGTAGTTGTACAGAGTTAAGGGATATTGGCACTTGAAGGGTTTTGTAGACTTTTCCCTAAACATGAAAACCAATGCTCTAACGATACGTCCCCTCTATAGTATGGTTTTGTATGTAGCCAGGGAGTCTCATTGTGTTGGTAATCTTTGTCATCTGTATAATTCTTCGGCATCACTCAAAATTCCGTCCCGAGCGTGATATGCTGGTGCCTTGCTGCATTCCTAGGTATCTGGTAGCCTAGAACAATGGTTTCAGGCACCGAAATTAATACACGCCTCAGCTACAAGATATTCAAGTTGGAACCAAATTGGATAAGTCAGGTAACATGAAATGTCCAAGAGCATTGAGTCTAGCTGCTCTAAAGAGGCAAGGAAGCATATCGAGATATAGTTACATTGAAATACAGGCACGGACGAACAAGTGTTTTTTTAGTTCAGCATCTCCCCCACTCTCCAATTAGAATCGACATGTCGCAATTGTGTAGCTCAAAGCTACGAGGTAGTAGTTAGGTAAGTAGGTAAGTTGATAGAGATGCTGTGTATGAAAGCCAATACACTTCAGCTGTTCGATAGGGAGCAACTCTCTATTACTACCTATCGCTGGATCTAGGTAATGCCAACAAACCATTCCCGGGTGAGCAGATTCCACCTGAATGCCCCTTGCAAGCGCAGTTCTCCCACTGTCAAGGGTCCCCAGGCTTCCCTGTCAATTGGCGGTGAGAGGCACCTCGGGTACTCGCTGGCACTGCCAAAATTTGCCTGTTGCACATGTACCGCCTGATAGCTCCGGCGCGCCTAGCATGTTTGTTGACGACCCCGCCACCAATTGGATGTCCCACTGCACCCACAGATTGGAACCTCCAAACACCCACCCCGAAAACCATCACCACCTCAGGCCCCTTCTTTCCCTTCCCCCTTCAAGCGCTGCGCGCGTACAGTATTTCTCTCCCCATCTTTTCCTCCCCCGACTTCAACCTCTCGTCGTAGCTTCTTTAGCTTCATCCAGACAAAATGAAGGGCGAGGTATGTTTACAATTATGCTGCAGCCCGTCTCTCCGCTGCATTGGATTGCTTCGCTCTGCTCGAGATACCCTTTGTGTGTTCCACTTGGTGTCTGGAGCTGTGCAGCTGGGGCGCCCCCTTATTATCCGTTGAAGCTGCTATCCGACCTCGCGATGCTGATTCTCTGCTATCCAGATTCTTCACCTCCACCTGGGCCAGGCTGGTACCCAGCTCGGTAACTCTGCTTGGGAGCTGTACGTTGTCTCCCTGGATTGTCAAATAACGCCACCGTCACGAACATGAAGCTGACTGGCCTCTGAATAGCTACCTTCTCGAGCACGGTCTCGGCCCCGATGGTCGCCCCGACCCCAATGCTCCCGATATTGGTGACCCTGGTTCTTTCGAGACTTTCTTCACTGAGACCAGCAGCGGCAAGCATGTTCCTCGATCTCTCTTCGTCGATCTTGACCCCTCTCCTATTGACGAGATCCGAACTGGCGAATACCGTAATCTTTTCCACCCCGAGTTGTTGATCAGCGGCAAGGAGGATGCCGCCAACAACTATGCTCGTGGTCACTACACCATTGGCAAGGAGATGGTTGACAATGTCATTGACCGCATTCGTCGCGTCGCCGGTGAGCTTTTTCGATTCCCCTGTACTTGCACTCAACGCTAACCGCACAACTCAGACAACTGCCAGTCTCTTCAGGGTTTCCTGATCTTCCACTCCTTCGGTGGTGGTACCGGTTCTGGTTTCGGTGCTCTTCTCCTCGAGCGTCTCTCTACCGAGTACGGCAAGAAGTCCAAGCTCGAGTTCGCCGTCTACCCTGCTCCCCGAACCTCGACTGCCGTCGTTGAGCCTTACAACGCTGTTCTCTCTACTCACAGCACTATTGAGAACTCTGACTGTACTTTCCTCGTCGATAACGAGGCTGTTTACGACATCTGCCGTCGCAACCTCGATATTCCTCGACCCTCGTACGAGCACCTGAACCGCCTCATTGCCCAGGTTGTCAGCTCCATCACCTCCTCTCTCCGATTTGACGGTGCCCTCAACGTCGATCTCAACGAGTTCCAGACCAACTTGGTTCCCTACCCTCGAATTCACTACCCTCTCATCAGCTACGCCCCTGTCATCTCCTCTGCCAAGAGTGAGCACGAGAGCTTCAAGGTCCAGGAGCTTACCTTCCAGTGTAAGTCTTGCTCATGTTATAGGCGCATCCTCGAAGATACTGACTCCCCACAGGCTTCGAGCCCAACAACCAGATGGTTGTCTGCGATCCCCGAAACGGCAAGTACATGGCTGTCGCTCTTCTGTACCGCGGTGATGTCGTTCCCCGCGACTGTAACGCCGCTATCGCTGCCCTCAAGGCCAAGGCCTCATTCAACTTGGTTGAGTGGTGCCCCACTGGTTTCAAGCTCGGCATCAACTACCAGAAGCCCATGGCTGTCCCCGCCGCTCCTGAGGCTGGAGGTCTTGCCCCCGTCAAGCGATCCGTCTCTATGCTTTCCAACACCACCGCCATCGCTGAGGCTTGGTCCCGACTCGACTACAAGTTCGACCTCATGCACAGCAAGCGCGCTTTCGTCCACTGGTACGTTGGTGAGGGTATGGAGGAAGGCGAGTTCACCGAGGCCCGAGAGGATCTCGCTGCTCTGGAGAAGGATTACGAGGAGGTTGCTGCCGACTCCTTCGAGCCTGAGGAGGAGCTCGAGTACTAGACGATCGCACAAGGCGAGTTTATGTAATCTCTTTCGACTTCTTTGACGACATGTTTTAAGCGATGGCTCGGACAGGGCTCATGCCCGCGAAGCAATGTACAGAAAAGAGTTGTGGAGGAAGTTGTTTAAGATTCCCGAGATTTTTGAGGTGGCACACATATGGGGGTAAAGATGTGTTGGTCACCAAGCGCCAGAGTTTGGCTCAGGGTACCCCGTTAGTACATGGTCTTGAATGTTGGTGCTAGGTCCTTATAGACGAGACTATCCCTCGACGCAAGCTTGGTGCCTTTGTTAGCAGGCACGTAAAATTGATGATATATCCATTTTCATTAAAATAGTTTTGCCCACTACCTCGTGTTATGTCGTTGATATGGGAACCACTATCACACCAACGTACTGGGCTAGCTCCAACGAAGTCGTCGTGATGTAATCATGATTTGTAGTAAGATTCCGTCTTAGAATTCTGAATCTTAACACAAAAACCACAAAAGTGCGTAAGCTTTAAATACATAAGACAGAATTAGTGCTTCATATACTGGTGAACTCTGTGCAACTCTATGAACTTTTCACCATCACCCCGATAAGTATACAAGTACCTTCGTCTCTCATCTAAGCGGCCAGAACTTGCCAGGGCAGCCAAGGCCGAAAAATCACTCGCAAACTTTCCGGGGCGTGGGGCCCTCTTTTTTAACAACACCATCCTCGTCCTCATCTCACGTATGAAAAGAGCACACATCCCATATGTCAACCACTAGCGATATGAGTGCTATTCACCATAAAACGCTCAGCTCTTCTTCTTCCACTCGGCAGCTCTCCTTGCGCCCCGGTTTTGGGGCCTGCTGGACCTGCCCTTACCCTTGCCCTTCTTACCAAGTTTGAGATCTTTGGGTGTGCCGTCCTTAGCTGAAGCACGACGGCCTTCAAAAACAAACTGTTCGGGTCCTTTGATGTTGAACGGAATGTTCTGAGCATCCTCGGAAGCACCCTGTGTTGAGGGGCGCTTCTTGTGGCGTTGCTGCACGGCGGCCGAGCGGCCGAGAAGCTTGCTTGTACGTCCAGCCATGGACTGCTCCTCAGGTGTAGCCTTGTGCTTGTATTTTGTGCTCTTGGCGGCGCCATTAGGAACGACGTTCTTGCCCCTGGCTCGCTCCTGGGCGAGAGCTGTCTTGCGAGGATCCTTGGCTCGAGTGACTCGCAACTTACGCGGTAACATGGGAGGAAATTTCTTGCCATCAAGGAGTAAGGCCGCCTCGACATCGTTGCCATCCTGGAAAATATATGTTAGCAGCTGGTCCGATCGAAGTAAGACAACCATGGACTTACATAAAATTGGACATAGGCGAAACCCTTGCCTACACGAGTCTTGGAATCTCGAACTACTCGGACGTTTTCAACCTTGCCCTGAGTGCTGAAAGTTCGCCAAAGACCTTCTTCGACATCGGATGGGGTCTTGTTCTTCTTCTTCTCCGTAGTGTCACCATCCGCGTTGGTGTTCAAGACGGTCTCATCGTCAACAAATCCGAGGTTGCCAACAAACACACATCGGCGGTGATCCGTGGGACTGGGGTGGGCGACGCTGTCGACTCTCAGGTGCCTTTCGAGGACCTGGGTACCATTGAGCTCTGCGGCAGCCTTGCGAGCAGCCGCTGAGGTTGAGTACACGACATATGCATTGGCGGACTTGGTCGTCGCGTCCATCAGGCTCTTAGTAATGTAAGCTGCACGCTTAGGGAGAGAGCCGCCTGCGAAAGCAACGGAACGGAAACGCAGCGACTCGATAGTCTGCGGAGGAGTGGCATCTTTATCCAAAATGGATGACAGATGGGCCATGAGGGTCTTCTTGGCGGCCTTGGAATTGATTGCTTCTGTGGACACGTTGGCGAGGAAGACTGTTCGCGCTGCCTTCTCAAGGTCTGATGATTTGCTGTCCTTGGCGAGGGTCTCATGGACGGGAATATCACTGTCGTTGCCGGCGTCCTCATCCTCCGCGACAGCCTTTTCGGTCTTATTCAGAGCGTCGTTCTTTTGTCGCTTACCGGCGCGCTCAGCTTCCTCCTCCGCAACAAGTTTGTCCAGATATCTGCCCTCCAGATCGTCGTTTTCGTTTTTTCTCTTTCGTTTTCGATCCTTGTTTGACTTGTCTTCTGTCGCATCAATAATGTCCTCGAGCTCCACTGGCGTATCCTTCATGGGCTCGTCTGAAGATTCTTCCTCTTGCTGTTGCTCGTCTTCGCTCTCCCCCTCTGGCTCCGAAGCGTCGGATCCATCCTCTTCCTCGTCTGAGGGGCCATCTTCTTCGAAGCTCAGCTCCTCGCTAATCTCAGAGAGGACCTCATCGTCGGCGTCTTGTTCTTCGAGTTGCACCCTTGGCTTGGGAGGTTCCCGAACCTTTTGTTCCACCAACGTCGAGTATCTTGACTTAGCGGGAGCCTGGACAGGACCAGCCTGCAAATGATGAGCATGGATCAAGTCAAATGGCTCGATGTCGCAAAACTTACACTGGACGCAAAAAGAGCGTCGAGGGTGGGGTCCACCGCCTTGGAAGAAGCTGTCAGGCCCTTTGAGCTGTTTTTTGTTAGGTCTTTATCCGTAAAGGTATCAAGGATTGGCAACTTACCGTTTTGCCATTGTGTAAGATTCAGTACTGTTTGGGCTGAATTGGAAAAGTTGTCGACTCTCGTGCACTCTTTTTGACCTGCGACGGAAAAAGACATGAGCCAGAAAAAAGTCCCAGGTTCAGTCCGGAAGACCCACAATCAGATTGCTCGGGACATCGTCATTGGTTCGATAACCTCAGCCAATGGATAAGCTCTCGTGGCACTGACAGTGAGCATTTCTGCCGTCAAGGACCGCCTTTTTACGGGCCCCGTCATTCTCTCAGCAGGGCCGCTTCGGCGCTCGCCCCAAGCCCAGAGACGCCCAGGACAGCCAGCGCAAACCGAGGCCGCACCGCACCCATCCCATTCCTCTCTCTACTCTCTGTTCCCCTCCACCAGCCCAACTTGTCGAATACAAGTTTCCTAGCTCTTCCTTACCTCAAAGTCCTCTTTGGAATCTCTCATGCAGATCAGAGATCGAGCCAATCGGTTGTTTCTCAGCTCACATTCGCCTTTTCACGCTCCCACTCCAAGATCCTGTGTCCTCGATTGTCTAGCGACCATTCCTCGTCACCCGTCACCACGGGCACGCTCCCGCGACCTTGCGATCGACCAAAGCACTCTTTCCCACCCAACGATACGAGCAAACCCAATAATTTTAGCGAGTCAATATATAGACACGTAATCGCGTTCTTTTGCAGCCATGGCTGCCACTGCTTCCGCACCTCCGCCTCTCTCCTCCCCGGCGCTTGGAGTTGCCGATCATGAGGACAGCAACATCTCCAGCCCCCTCAGTGAGGTTGACACTAAAGACGACAACGACGAAGACATTGAGCATATGAATCTCGATCATGATGACGAAGATAGCGTCAGGCGCAGCCCTCGAAAGAAGCCTCCACCTACCTCCGACTCGGACAGCGTCCTCTCTGACGCCCACTCCGACGTACCCTCGGATGGCAACGTCACAGAAGCTGAAACTGAGCGACTATATGATACGCCAAAACATCAGAGGCAACGAGACGTCGTGGTAGACCAATTTAACGGGGGCCAAGTCTACGAACACACTCCCAGCAAGCTACGCAGGACCGCCAACCTGCACAACCACGACGAGGACGAATCTGCAATAGACGACGACGATGCTTCTACTGGCTCCCCCACAATCGGTGAAGATTCACCAACAAAACATGCGATCGCACACAACGCAGGAGAGGAAGACGAGCACAAAAATGACGCCCAAGAGCGAAAGCGGAAGCGTTCACCCGCCGCCGATCAATCAGAAACCGAACAGCCGCTTAGAAAACGAGCAAGTTCAGAGCATGCGACTGATGTGAACACCCCCCAGCAGCTCGAAGAGACCATTCTGCAAGAAGATGGGCCCACCCCTGCACATGAAAGCACCGGCACACATACACCTGCTGAAGACACTGATGCTTCTCCCCAAAAGAGATCTACCAACCGAGAGACTGATCTAGCAGAGCGTCTTTCACGTGCCGTGAAAAAGAACACCCGTGGATCCAAACGAAAAGCAGCTGCAGCTGTTACTGATCTTGATCCCGACACTGACAGCGGAAGTCATGATGGCGCGCGCGACAGCGCCAGAGGAACAGACGTGGATCACCACGACGAAGCTGATGCCGATGCAGACGAAGAAGTTGACTCAGCTACTGCACATGATGAAGAGCGTAAGAACAAATTTACTCATGATCCAGGTCATCATACTTATTTTATCACAGTGGAACGAAAACAAGCCGCTTTCAAGGATTGGACTGTCATCGAGGAAATGTTTGGGGTGTTTCGTGACAGGTACGTTGTATCGTGAAAGCAAGCATATACCCGCTGACGTCTTGTCTAGGCTCTACAAGGACCGACTTGAAAGACTGGAAGAGGAAGAACAGTCACTCCTTGCCAGCGAACCGACACATCCCGAGTACCTAAACATGAAGCAGTGTTTAGATGACCGACTAGAACAAAAACTACGCGAAATAAACAATGAACACGAATATCGCCTCAAGGCTCACGAAAGACGGTCCGTTGCCCAGCGAGCCCAAATATGGGGCCAGTACTACCAGGCGGTTCGTGAGAAGAGAGAAAGGACCCTAGAAGCACTTAACCAAGAGTGGTACGACATCCAAACTGCAAGGCGAAGCGCACACAGCTTGCAGGACTGCGGCTTGCTCTACCCCAAGGATCCCGCACAACGTGTGAGAAATGCGATCGCCTACAACACCGAGGTCTCAGCACTAGCTACGATTGCAAAGTACGAAGGATTCCCCGCAGGCCCCGAGATGACCGGAGCGACACCGTCGGAACTGGAAGATGATATAGCTGCCATTGAGGTACGTTGATAACACAGGTCAGCTCCCAGAGCACTGAGCTGACTATCGTAAGCGAGCCAAGCGATCACGACATAAGCCAGTAAACCAACGACGCGAGGAATACTATGCTCAGCCATTTGATCGCCTCGGACCCGCTGGTGAACAATTCCTTCGAGAGACGCCGTGGGCCAATCCAAATCATTTACTTCACAAGATGCACCCTACAGCTGCTCCAGTGGAGGCACCTGCAGACGATATGACCAGCCGTGGTGCGCACCAAGCTTCTGTGCCTCCCAGCGCCCAAATCACGCAGTCTCCTTCACTCTCGGCACGACTATCGGAGTCGCCAGAATTGACAAGAACGTTACTTAGCCCAGCTCACCAAGCCAAACGGGTCAGTAACAGTCTGCCCGGCGTGAACCGCGGTACAAAAACAGCAGCTACATAGATGCTGAGTATATAGGATTTGTGGTTGAACATATCCCTCGGATAGGACTGAATTGGTAAAATTATAGGGCATCTTGCTTTTGTACTCGGATTTTGTGATACCCAGGGGAGATGATCGTTTCAGGCCGCGGCGGACCGGGCTGTCTTTTTCTTTTTATTTGGACTTGAGCGACATTAGAATATTGCATTGTCTTCGGCAGATAGTATATATCTGTCTACTGCCATCAGTCGAGGGGAAGGCATCTACTTTGTAGGTAGTGGATAGCCGGTTGCTTGAGAGTCGCTGTACAAAGGTCTTCATATACTTATACACACCCTGCACAGAATAGCTGGCAAACCTGTTATACATGAAAGGATGAGGAGTTTTCTGGGCATTTTGCGTTGTAGGTCTCATGAATAGCAATGCTGCCTTTTGCCCTCTTATTCAACTTGCACCCGTATCGAAATTCCAGCGCTTAATCGTACATGTGGCCGGGCCACTTATGTGAACTGTCTACTTGGGGGCAGATGGCTTCGCGGGCGCATCTGGGACCTTGACATCTTCGAAATTGTCTTGACCAACGGCGTTAAGCGTATACCAATCTAGACCACGTTAGCGGAGGATGACAATCACACAAGAGCTCTCTCTCTCTGCATACAGATGCTTCCAACAACAGCCAAGAGACCAAGGCCTGTCACGGCATTCTTGACAAGATAGGGCCGTCGTGCTCGTACAAGCGCAGGGCCCTGTCGCAGGCGGCGATCGTAGTATGTTGAGTGCGGGCTGTTTCGGAGTCATGATCAGTCCACTTGAGTGAAGACTGTTATTGAATAAACAAACCTGGTAGGCATTTTGGATTGTCGAGTTGTTAATTATTATGAGAGTTATCCTTAACCAGATCGCGATGCAATTGAGGAGGGCCAATTGCTTAAATGTTGCGAGATATGGTTCTACCTCGAATGTACTCTTAGTGAATGTCGATACGCCTCTGTACTGAGGTAAGAAGATTATTTGCGGCTAAACATCGGCCGGATGGAGGATGACCGTGACGTCTATTGAACTTTCCTTAGGTAGTTCCAGGTTCTTTGTGGAGCTTAATTGCAAGGGTCTGTTTCCGTTTCCACGTCCCATATTCTTTGCTTTCGCGTCGCCAGTCCAAAGATTCAGGTCTGAGATATACCAACCCTAACAGCGACAACGAACAACGACAGCGTGGAACGAATCCCGGACGTGTATTACGACGCCACGGCACGCGCGACTTCCGATCATTTGATGAAGCTGAGCGGTTGATGCAAAGCATGCACAGCTACAAAGCTTAGCCTAGTCGCGCGACCACGGTTCAAGAGCCGCATTGGCATCTTTATCTACGAAAACCACTTCATCGCGCACTCACAGGCAGCTTATAAGTTTATTATTCGCCGACACCTACCGCCGCGACCGAGAAATCGACCAATAAATTATGGCAGCGAATCTTTCAGTGTCGGACCAGATCCGGCAGCTTGATGATGCACGAAAGTTGGTTTTGGGAGATGTCAAATATTATCCCAGTGTTGTCAAGGGAATACTGCCCATCATCGGACCAAGTGCAGCGCTCGAGCTGCGAAGATGGGGAGCCGAATTTCTGGCTGAAGCTTTTTCGACGCCCGCTCTACCAAATGGAGAAAAGGAGACCATGCAACCTTATGTTTTACCAACATTGGAGTCTATGCTCGAGAATGAGCGTGAAGATCCTCAAGTTCTGCGAAGTGTGATCCAATGCGTTGCCAGTATCTATCCCTTGGCGATGAGATGGATGTATGATGAGACTGCCCTGCGAGATGCAAGATTTAGCTAATGTGACTATGCAGCATCAACAACGGATACGACACAATCACTTGGGAAAGAATGGTAGCTGTGAAACAAAAGGTTCTAAGGATATGGGACAATGCTAGCCCTACCGTGAGAATCTGTTGCATCAAGTTCGCGCAACGTGTAGTTCTGGCACAGACAGCGGCGACGGGTTCTGAGCTACGAGTATGAGTCAGTGATCTAGATAAATGGGGATGTCGCTAACGTATGGAAACAGTATGGTGGTACTCTAGATGTCTCGCTGGATAAAGTCCCCCCAAATCACCAGTCACTTGATCCTCGGAACTTGGAGGCTGAAGCGTCCGGACTCCTGGACCGAATGTTGGCAACTCTGCAGGAGAGCAGGTAAGAGGATCGCTTTTGACTATAAATGCCCAAGTAACTAACTCTACGCGAAACTGCAGTGATGCTCTGCTCGTAGACGCAACGTTAAACTGCATGTCTATCCTCGTGAGGACACGACCAGGAACCTCGAACCGGGTCATCAATGCTCTTCTCAACTTCAACCCCCTCAAGCTCGCAAACTCTCCTCTAACCCCCAAGACCCGCGTCATGATTAGATCTATGGAGAAAACAACTCGAATGTTGCTCATCCATCTTGTGAAGCGAGATCCCAACAATCCAATGACTCCTAGGATACAGCAGCACGTAGAACGCATGATGCGTACCATGGCAGAATTTTTTGACGATTCTGGACGGAAACGCCCCCTCGAGCCAGCACCACAAGACGCCTACGACGCCAAACGACAGCGATTATCCCCAGCACAAATTCAAATACCACCGCTGGGCCCTGGCCCTCACAGCCTAGCAGACGTTTTCACACTCATCGACAATACTGCTCTCAAAAACTTCGATATCTCGCAAGTTCCCGCTCCTTTAGTCGCCAGGATCGCTGTCACCACACTGTCGAGACTTGACCCCCAAGTATTATCTAAAGCAGTCGATGGTATTCGTGGCCGTCTCGACGCCCTAGCCAATGCTCCGGCTCCTGAGTTAAATCCCAACACCGCCCCGTTGGGTGTAGAGGAAGACGATGATGACTATGAGCCTGATTTCTACCAGGCTGAGGACACAGAACAGATTCTCAACAAGCTAGATAGCTCACCCATGCATGATGCACCAGTATTGGACGATGGCCTTGCACTGAAGTCATTCCATCTTCATCAGCCTAGCGCTCTAACCCCAGAAACGGCATTGACAGCAGGCAACGGAACAGTTACCCGGGTAATTGAGATGATGAAGTCACTAGAAGACCCAGCCAAGAAGAGTAAGGCTGGCTTCAGCAGATTAGCAGCTAGTTCTGGAAATCGGGATTCTTGGATGACAATACTGGCACGACTAGCAACGCGCTCTGTGGCCGGTCTCGAGGAAACCTCTATCAAAGAGGAGGGTAGCTCATCAGCACCCCAGTCTCTCAGCAACAATATTCGCGACGTTTTATATTCCTATGTGATGGAGGACTTCCGAAAGCATATTGATGTGGCGGTCTCATGGCTCTGTGAAGAGTGGTACAACGACAAACTACAACAGAAAAAAGGCGGCGATCGACCCTTGTACTACGAAAAGTGCTGCTTGCGTTTGATTGATGGATTTTTGCCATATCTGCACCCTCAGGACAAAGTGTTGACACGTTTCTTGAGTGAAATACCCGAGCTAAACAAGAACCTCCTGTCGCGCGTGAAGCACATGTGTCGCGACCCCAGCGTTGTTCAGCTAGCTTTGACAAGTCTTCTATACTTGGTCATGATGCGGCCACCTGTCAAAGAGATTGCACTGGACACAGTGCAAGATATCTGGACCGAATGTAAGTCGAACTGGAGCCTCGTCTCATGATAGTTGCTGACACGTCCCTAGTTGAAGAATCAAGACCTATGGCAGGCAAGTATTTGACCAAATATCGGCCAACTTTCATGGAGTCTGCACGAAATGCTGCCAGTGAATCTGGACAGTCTGCATCGCCTGCTATTACCGCTTGAAGCGGGCTGCTAGTTTTAGCACCGAAGTCATAATGGATCGCTTAATGGAAAGTGCAACGATACGCGATTGTCACTTTATCTGGTTGTATCAAAAGATGTAAATCGTTAAGATGATGGGTGGAGTTGCTCTAGCCACGAAACCCGGCTAGCAAAGGAATGGCTTGACGTTACTTTTCAGGCACACTAGTTACAGAAACAGAAGGCCTGGAGTGGACAACTGTCTCAGGATGACAGAAAAACTAAATCACGAAATAAGGCATTCAACGGCGTTAAAGGGTAGATACAGGATTGAAATACCAGTCGATGATGGGGAGGGAACGGCATTGTCTGTTTGAGTTGACCGTTATAAAGCTGTAAAACAATTTATGAGGCGCGCATCTATCGTTACACACAGCCATGCATGGTTTTGGGAAGAAAATACGACGTCTCGATGGCAGACTTGTCTTGATTTGTCTATGGCAAGACATAGTAATATTGTGTCAAGTATCATTTTGAGGATAAAGACCCAGAGCCGCGAACTTCGAGATCCCTGCATTTAAAGATGGGCCTTTGGCCCTGAGAGAAACGGCCATAGGCGTCATTGCTGAGCTAGGGGAAGAAATGTAAACACTGGATTGCGTGTTTTGTGCTATGATGTTGCTGTGCCATCAGGAGAACATGGTTGTTGGGGTATAGTACGTACTATAACAGTCATGGTCTTTAATTGGAGACCCGTGACGCTGGTATTCTCTCAAATCCTCCTTCAGATGTGTATGGATCGCTTTTTGTTTTGTTTATTACTTCTCTCACGATACTGATCGACACAGAGGCTTCTTTGCAATTAGATCGGCGCATGCCAATATTTACCCTTTCCCTCCCTCCAACCATCTCAACGGTAGGCACCTTACTGTAACGGCACAAACGGGGACCAGACGGGAGCCAGCGGGAGCCAACACTATCACGAGGTACGTACTGCTGAAGATCAGAAAACCCCAGCAAGTTCTTCCCTTGAGAACAAAAACAAAGAAAGGGACCCTTGTCCCCCGTTATTATTAGTGTGGGTTAATTTATGTCTGTGTTTACATTGCGTATCCAGTCATTTGTTCTCAACATTGCAGCAAGAGCTTTGCCTCATTTTCTCCTCTGCTTTCTTTCACACTGCCTTATATTTGTTCTGTTGCCTTGCTGCTGATAAGTTACTCCTTTTTATTTGTAGCATTGACCAACCAACCAATACTTCAACACAAAAGGACCATACTGCTTCAGATACATGAACTAAAGTCAATTCTGTCAGTCGTTGCAATGCGAAATCGTCTTCATAAAAAGGATTTCTCGATTCACAAAGACACAGTCAACGGTATGTTCAGAGTTTGAGCTGAGATTGGTCTGTCCATGCTTTGTTAGATATCCTTATTACTTTCGACAACTACCACCCGTCAATGCCTCATTATCCACTTGAAACAGCTCCCCACACCTTCAACTGGGGCGCAACTGTACAATTCTCGTCCCGTCCCATGCTATCTCCTGCTCGTCTCGTCTGGTCTGTCCGTCTGGCTTGATTTGACCTGACGTGACTGGGCTCCTCACGTCAGCCTTGTTCTCTTTTGCACACTAGCGACTTTTTCTATTTCGTTTTCTCTCTTCACTGCATTACCACTTCTGTGAAGCAGCTACTCGCTAACGCCAACCTATTCTTATTCAGCCGCCGCCACAGTTGCAAGTAAATCCACCGAACCACATGCTCCTCCTTTGGACGAGGAAAAGACCTTGACTCCCGCCTCTACCGGCGCCATCAACAGCATGAAAGCCCGGAGCCCTACCTCCTATAAACCGGCCGTCGCCAGGTCCAGCACAATTAGAAGCGTTCGGAGCTTTGAGGGCTCCGAGTCTAGCCCCGAAAGCAAATACAGCAATTTCTCCAGTAGTATGAACAGTACCACAAGCGCCCTGTCCAACTCCAACTCCGATTCCAACTTCCACAACCAGACACACCTCAAATCCAAGACCGAACACGACACACATACAGCGACACCGTCGCGCTGGAGCACTGGTGCTGCGCGCGTGGTTGAGCCTACTCCAGATCCAGATAATTCCGCCATGTCAGAAAACGTTGAAGCGCCAGACAGTCAATGGGACTCGACAATAGGCAAAGCCGGTCTGGGAAAGACCGGTCGCGTGATAAACAAACTTGTCAGCGACAACGAGGCTCTGAAGCGCGACATAAAGATTGAGCGCCTAAAAGCAGACGAGGCCAAGCAAGCGGCCAAGTTGGTTGAGGACAAGCTCGAACGTATGGTCAACGATTATGAGAGCCGACTACTCGAGGCCAATGTTACTAAGACACTGCTGGCTCGAAAAGAACGCCAGGTGGAGACCTTGCAAACAACCGTCGAACTAGAGAAGAAGAAGGCTATAGATGCTCTCCAACGCGAAAAGAGCTGGAGGGAGGAGATGGAGAAGACGAGAAAAGATGCAACGACCCAAGTCGAAGAAGCAACTAGCTATGCGCAGTTGATGGAGGGCCGCTATAATGCCATCTCGTCCCACTGGCAGGACCAAGGAGAAGAAGTCAAACGAGCCGTCTCCAAGATGAAATCCGAGATCGACCAACTCAATGAGGAGCGACGAGCAGACGACGACAAAATCCAAACACTAAGAGATCTGTGCGACCAGCAAGATAGCAACATCAAGCAACTTCGACACGAAAAGGAGGAGATTGCTCGTATGTTTGAGGAATACAAACAGAGCCAAGAACAAGGCCTCAAAGATATCAAGACCAACGCCAGAAAGCGAGAAGATGAGCAAGAAGCTCTGCTAGAAGCTTCTAGGGAAACTCTCAACAAGCTGAGATGGGCGCTGAATGTTAAAGAAAACGTCAAAGGCGCGCAATAAGAATAGCCAATCTTGTTGCGCTACCATCCGTCAAACGAGTTGTGGTGTCCGCAACTCACTTACCTGGCGAGCTACATCTCCCTGCATGTGCGATTTGATCGATTCATTTACCTCTCTTCGACGAGTCGACTCGCTGGGCCCAGTTTCTTTCCCGAAGCTCCAAACAGCTTCTTGACTTTACGTCTACGAATACTTGATGACCATCGCTACCTCGATACCACTCCTTGTATACTCTGCTCTTCTGCTCTTTAGACACATTACATGGCCTGGAAATTTACGCTGGATTTGAATTTGTTTCTGTAACCCGTCTCGGTTACTTACATAACACTGGAAAGGGACGTGCCGAGGTGTTATAGGTGTTTGGGGTTCTTTTTGTGCTGTGCCGAGGCTTGATGCCTCACAATCAAGAAATAGTGATATATTCGGATATAGATATGTCGTCATACCAGGTAAAACAACCTGTGGGCAGGGAGAAGAAAACAAACCGGAATATAATTGGGATCTCTATAGAGTGCCTGGTTAGTTACGAGACAATCACACTTATCTGAATATTTCGTTTACTGAAGTTGGCGGTGCATCAAGCTACGATGTTGCTGGAAGATCTCATACTTCATCCTTCCTTCCTCACTTTCAACAAATGTAATTATCTTACTTGACAGCCCCCTTTTGAGCCATCTCTAAGAAGAAGTCAGAGATGTTAAAGGTGTACGTATATATAACCAACTTCCCTGTTGCTCATGAATTGCAGGCTTTAATCCTTCACACTTGCGGGGCACATTACCTTCATGATGCAGTGCTCGCAGTGTCAGTCATTCATTTTGACTCTCACCACCCGGCAGGGAGGGGCGTATTTCATGGCAGTGAATCACGGAGCGCTTTTCTCCTTGGCGAGGCAAAAGAAAGGCAGTGGCACTGTTGGCACCTGGCTTTGCCAGTGGAAGCTGCCGCTTGCCGCGTAGGTAGTGGGAGACTGCAGCGGTGGCAGTTTCCTCCTTTTATTTCTGTTTGTACCTGCCTACATCAAGCACATCTCCCAATCTCCAAGTTTCTCTCTTCTCTCTCTCTTCTTCTTCTTCTTCTTCTTCTTCTTCTTCTTCGTCTTCTTCCCTCCACCTCCCTTCTAATTTTTCACCTTGGCATTGTCTTTCGCATCAACCTTCCTCCTTTTCTCCTTACTTTCTCAAGGCCACAGCCCATGCCAGTGCGTCCTTGAAAACGACGGTTTCCTTTATTTACACATGCTCTATCACTATTCTGTTAGTTATTTGAGCCAAAATACCACTCTGTTCTGTATCGTCCGGCTAATGTGTCAGCGTTACCATCTACGCTGAGGCGTTTAGCAATCTTCCTCAATTCCTCAACCACGCCTTGTTACGTGAGTATACATATCAGCACAGATACAAAATCGTTTATTCACTAGTCGTCTCAGCACCTTCGTGTCACAACCATGGATATTGTAGAGTTCTACGTATCTTGTAACCCTCCGTTACTCCCTAAAGGGGTGGCGCTGATATTTGCGAGTGTCGAGGAAAGAAAAGATGACCTTGTAAGTATTGAAAGCCTCTCCAAGAATTCTACTAACACGTCTTTTTTTTTTTTTAATTTCCATTTAGGGAATCCTTGAGATCCTCTACGAACCTGAGATCCCTTGGTTTAAGCTCATTGCCCCAAGGGCTTCTCAACGCGAAGTCTCAGATTGGATGCACTCTCAACTAGAGGAGCTAATAGAATCAGAAGCCGACGCTGTTATACAAGACGAAGACGAAGATGACCTCAGTACATCTGCCATCCAACCTGATATTGAGGTACTGGTCGAGGAACCACACATTATTGCCTTTCCTTCTCTCCAAACAATCCCGAAAGACATCCTCAATCAATATGACACGTTCCGGTATCCCGACACTATCAAGACCTTGTCTTACAAAACAGTCTGGCGAGTTCCAGAATCATCTGGAGTCACTATCATGCAGATTCTCTCGAATTACGAGTCCCTGGGATCTGTTTCGCCTTTGGGCCCAAGCATCGATAGCCTTCAAGCACTTACGAAATGTGTCATTACATATAATTTCCAGGGTTCCTTACTATACATCGGCAGCAGTGAAAGCGAACAAGCACTAAGCGTTGCAAAACGAAAACTCGACACTCTTGCGAACTTTATGGTATTTCCTACGATCAAGTTGTGTCCTTCTTCTAATAAGCTTAGGATTCCCCCTTGCCCCCTACCGCTCACATGGTTCTTACTGAAACTTCGAGCTTGGTTACACTCTGCTACCGATACATGACACATACTGGACTATCCAGATTGACTTATGTTGATTCCGCCGGCAACTATCAGAGCGAGGACCAGGAGTACGCCTCGATCGCCAGTGCAGTATCCTTGAGAATTGAATCTGTTAATAGGTACCGGCAGCCTGTACCCGATCGCGTCAAATATCCAATTCCAGAGCCCGGCAACTTGGCAACTTGGCAACCAGAGTTCCACCCCTTCTCTGGGTATTCATATGGAAACAAGCGGTCTGGTACCATAGCTGTTAGTGAGAACAAAAGACCCCGACAGAAGATCCAGCATCAAGAATCGGATAGTATCGACAAGATCACCAGCCCTGAGCGAAACCGCAATCTCAAACATATCAGCACTACAGACTTACCACAAGTTCGAAAGTGCTTAGAAGCTCCCAGGTACCACGCTCGAAATCACAAGAAAATCACTAATTGGCTCTACAGCATCGAGTCCAGCGGAGACGGTGACCATCTGAAGCCACCCTCATTTCTGATAGAGGACAATGGAGAGCAGGGCCAGGGAATATCAACAGACTCACCATGTGGCTCATGTTCCGAGACATCCCGAAGTATTGACGAACCAAGGGGACCTCGGCTTGTCAACACCAAAGACGTCCCTCTTCTGGAGGCCAAGGTCAAACATCAGATGCCAGAATCAGATTACCAGGCTTCTTCAAGCCAGCTTTTATTGGGCTTGGACTTACCAGAAAACAGTCTCAAGCTCCTCAATCTTCCCAATCCTTCCGGTCCGCAGTCTAATGCTACAAGGGATTTGATGGACATTGATGATGGCCCCATCACAACTCCTGCGCTTATGGATAATATCCCTTTGCACGAACGTGGTAGCAGACTTCAGACTGCATCAGAGGACCAAGGTGTTCATTCTGAAGTCACATTCGGCAAGAGAAACCATCAGGAGAAAAGACTGTTTGATACCATGAGACAGAGAGCTGCCTCTGGGCTAAGCTGGGCCAACGTAGCCTCAAAGAAGAAAGAAGAGAAGCGAGACGATAAGCCCACCTTCGGGCTGAACGTGCCTGTCACATTTGTCCCTGACAATCGTTCTGCAACTCCGATTTCAGCAACGCCAACATCCGAGGTTATTGCCAGCTTCAGCCATGTCCTGGCCAAGCAGAAAGAGGAGCATGCCAAGGACAAGTCAAATTCAACTGAGAAACCCAAGCCTGACCCAATCCCACAGACCTTCCAAATTGTTCCAGGAATGGACATGCCATCGATGGACCAGGTGGAGTATAGCGAGATCGTGTCACAGGCTGAGAACAAGCTCAGTAAGTTGGTTGAAGTTCTACAAATAGTCCCCGGGAAAGTGAGCATTCAAGCTCAATTCGGGCGGCTGTGCCGCAAAGACACATTTCCTGCTTTGGTCTATGACGGTCAAGCGCCATCATGGGCTGTTAATAAAACCGTTGAGGCTCTAAACACTGAAAATCCGCATATGGGGTTTTATCCCATCCTCACAACAAGCGGGGCAGAAGCAAACACGATCCCTCAAATGTTTGGTGGCAGATCTCCATGGCTATTGACGGAGAAGCGAGTTTACTACGAATTCCACTGCGTCGCCGAGAAGACGCTTGAGGCTGTCGTGGAAGTTGATGCCGATACCTTCCAGCACCAATACTTCCCCCCAGCGACTGAAGTCTCAAAGGCTTTCGTTCATTGCACTCGACGTGCATGGGATGTCAAATTTTCTGTCTCCCGCATGTATATGGAGGGGATGGCCGATGATATGGAAGAGTTTGCTGCATCATTGGTGCGCTCCATGAGTATCGAGTAAGTCACTCAGCTTAATCATTTGGTATGGTGTCAAACTAATTTCTTAGAACGAATGAGATGGGAGAGCTCGTGATCAGTACCGAGCCAAAGAGCACCTCGAATTTGGGCGTTGATAAGGTTAGAATATGTCACGAAGCCCGATACCGAAATGGAGGGAAGGGGCCTAGCTGTCTCAAGGTTACTATGATACGGAGGGTTGAGAAACTTCCTGGTATTCCCAAAGGAACTTATCGGGGTCAGTCAGTTCCAGTAACACCCCCTGGAAACGGACGGCCTGGTCAGTGGTTCGAAACAAGCATTTCGTCCACACGAGCAGAAGAGATATTCCAAGAGAACATGGGTCTAGAGTTTGGCGATAAAACACATTGGACGCCTGAAACCCTACAGCACCAGGGCGTTTTCAGAGCCATCTCTGAGCCTGCACTGCAAATGGTCAGCCAGATGGACCATGTCGGCGATTCGAACTCCAACGGACAAGGCCCTCGCACTGATCGACAATCGTACAGTGCTGCTCAGGATTCAAAAGACCGGCAGAAAGGGAAATACTTTTGGTGAAACGCTGCAGGACGATGTTTGATTCAACACGCGAAGATGGAAGACATGGATTGAAGTACGAAGTGTGATGGAGATAAAAATGGATAGATATCGGAGTTACTGAACGCCTTTTGTCAAAACTTTGAGCTATTATAAGATCGCGATGGCAATTTACATGATTCCTATGCCTCAATTACGTCACCACTGTATCCCTGACTGAAACAAATTTTAGCAAGCTATGCCAGCCTCTAAATTCGTGACCAGCCAACATGATTACTGAGACGCTTCTACCGTGCGGCTACATACATGATGGCATTCCGTGTTGTTTCAATTACTAAAGCCTACAGGAGCCTCATAATAAAGGCTTTAACTAACACGGACCTAGAACTTGCGAATCGACGTTCATATAAACTTTCGGTAAGAAATCTTATTGGCGTTGATACCTCGAGCTTCTTTTTTGCACTTTGATCTGCCTCATAGAAACTCGCATTTACAAGTCCTTGTCTAGGAAAAGATATACACTGCCATGTTTTGCTTTTGTATTGGATGACTACCTACTCTGGAACTTGGAAAGAAATTTTCCATGAGTAAAACCATGTGCGACGCCAAAAAAGAAAGATGTGATTTCGGGCCCCCCGCTCGGCTCGGGCCGCGATTCCGATCTACACGAGGGATCTCGTGGTTTTTCAGCTGGAGAACTCTAATGTCGTCGAACTGATAGTTTCATGTAGATAAAAGCCAAATTACTAAGCTCTTAACTCTTGGGCCTAGGGTAGGTCGGCTCTTTCATTGTGTGTATGGGTACGAATAGTAACGGTGGTATGGACGTAGACTTTTGCGCTGCGCACTTAAATATCTTAATGCTAGCATGAGCTTACTCGATGGTGAGCTTGAATCATTGATGTCAGAAATCTTGACCCATTTGGAGATCTTGTTGGCAATTAGGCAATCACGATTGTTGGAGCCGTCATTGACCATGTTTGATCAAGTGCGAACCTCCCAATGACTATGCACCCTCCTCTTCGTACAGGTCAACAACTCCCCATGACCATATCATGACTAATGTCTATACGCGATGCAGTCCAGTAGCGGTTCGGATTCGGTTATGGAAACCGAGCTACTATGTAGCAGTGCGAGAGCTAGAATTAGGAAGGAATGAATGACTTGCGACTTACGTCATAATGGTATATGCCCCTGTTGACGCCGTTTGCATCGTTGCAATGGGTTGCTGACCCATGAGCATGGACGTAGGGCACTATCATCTTCCTCATGATCGATGGAATCTATAGCAGAAAGCCTCTTCTTGTAAGGGCCAAGTTTGTAGGGTTGCGGATCTATGCACTAGTGGGCTGCTCGACCATGCAATATATCAGCGTTGAGAGGCTCATTGAATGTCGTGGGCTCTCAAAGCTGATTCAGGCCGCCATGAGTAAAATCAGGCCGTCTTAGAAAGTCAGCTAGACGGTATGTGCGATATGCGGTGAGGTTGTTAAAATCAAACACAGGACGACGGTGGATGTTCGTTTCGCTTCGATTAAATACTAAATTCCTCCCCAACTCCTCCTTGAATGTGATCAACACAATTCCCGTGAGCTTCTCTATAGTCTTCTAGTATGGGCTTGCATAATCAATTCGTTCGGACCATGGGGAAATTCGCTCAACTCCTGGCGTCAAAGTATTCATGTCATGCTTCGTTTCGCAGCCGTATCGCCAAAGTCTATCCCCCCCAGCCCCGCTCCCATGGTTGTAGTCATAAGGGGAGGTATGTCAACATCTTCCCTCGTTTCGTCTAATCATCCAATTGGTAGACCAAGCGAGCGATATTCCAGCACCAGTTCGCCGTCGAGTCTATCTTTTTCATATCGCGTAGCCAGTCTAAATATACTGTAACAGTTTGGGAGGCTTCCACATCGAAGCGTTGCCCGCAAAGCGACGACCGGATCCGACTCAACATGGGGTGCTGCTGCGATAAATGTAACAGAATTAGAACACCCAGCAGATTCTGCGACCAGAAGAAAGTAATCGGCACAAGTCGTTTGTTGGTACATGGGGGTGATAGGGCAATGGGCCACTTAACCGAGGCTTTGAGACATTCGGCCGCACCTTCAGCATCTTCTCGCGTCATGCTCTCAGGGTGATGAAGAGCCTTGAAAATGCAGGGCCTGTGTATAAGGTATTTGTTGTAGCTGTATCGTGTTCGGAGAAGTGCAGTTTGTATGTCGGCCGCGAACGGATACGTGGCTGGTGGAGTATCAAGATCCGGTGTAAACATGTAATTGCTCTGGAGTGATTCTTCCGTATATACGTCACCAAAGGCATTATGTGAAGGATCCGCGAAGGCCACATCCTGGTTATCCTGCCATCTTAGATGGCTGGGTAGCATGCCCCTCCACTGGTCTAGCTGTGCGTCGAGTTGCTTCATAACAGCTGCGGTCCCGGGACTCGAAGAGATGTTGAAGGGAGCGAACCCCGCAACGGGTAGAGAGGCATCTGTGCCAAAGGCTTTAAGGCATTATTAGTGTGCGGTTGCTAAGACTGCCAGTGCATAGTTCTTTTGACGTACTCTTGTTGAGAACAGAATGGAAATTGGCCGAGAGCCTTCGGAGAACGATTTGAGAAGCGAAATGCTCATGAAAGTGTGTTTGTTGATTGACGATATAGTCCTCGTCAGTCATCGGTCCACTAAAGTCAGGGAGACCGATCGTTTCTTCCAGCTTTTCTAGCCCAGTCAGGGGTAGTCCAAACTCCATGTGGAAGCACCTGTCCTTGTTGTTAATATGCCTTCTCATGTTGTTATCAATAACCTACGTTTCCATGATTGAACAGTGCCAGAAGACTCGCTTGACCAGATCTGTTCGGGGGCCGTGTAATTCGTCAGGTTTGCTATAAATATAATATTAGAATTAGGCTGCGTTGACTCATAACGACTGAGCCTCCCACCTCGTTATTAGACCCTGGCAGGCCAAGGACGCATACACATTCATCCTCCAACATTCCTGCCAGATCAGTTAGAAAGGGGTATTGGGGGTCTAGGTAGAGGTACCGACTAGAGCTTGTCCGCAGCTTGAGTAGTAGAGCGAAGCAAGTGCCAACATCTGCACATTTTCCAGGCTGACTTCACTCATAGCAAATCCCATCCTTTTCCGTGCCTCGTTGAATAAAGCAAGACCAGGTGGCCGATCGATAGTACCTCCCTTGATTCCAGATGGTCGCTGCTTGTAAGCCGAGATTGGCACTTCTGATGTGGTGAGCGCCACCTCCCCAAGGGCAAAGACAAGTAGTACAAGGGATGAAAGTGCTCCTTCTTGGAATCCATTGTTGATGATTGAACTCAGTACGTTCGAGTTGAACCACTGTCTATCCAAGACAGGATGAAGCATGTTAATGACATCGAAATAAGCCTTACTAAGTCTTTGCATGGTCTCCCAGTCCACACTTGGGGGGCTAAGATTGAGAGTCGAGGTAGAGCCTGAGAGGTGCAGGGGTATCTGCAGAGTGCTGTTGCTTGGTATTCCTACCGGCTGGAGTCCATCGGATGGCAGAGTAACGTTTGAGGCACGAAGTCCTCTCGGAAGTGCAGGAATCTCACCCAAGGCGGATGGAGCCTTCTGGCCAAGGCTTTCGAACATCTGGCGTACAACGGGCCATTCTGACATCTTGGACACAGACGAGTCATAGCGATAGCCGCCTGTGTCACGGTTGGGCGTTGGACTTGTAGGATGGTTGGGTAAGGATGTGCCTGGAAGAGGATCGTGGGAGTCGGGATCCACTAGTAGCGGCGTGTTGGTGGAATAAACGGCTGGAGGTTGAGGAGTAGTGAAGAGGGGAGGAGTCGTATTTTCCCGTTGACCCAGGTTGTCAATCTTACTTTCGACAGTCTTGAGTCGGTCTAGAATCTCAACCAGGGTTTTATCCTTCCTGTGGGCGGAGTTTAGCAAATTGCAGTTGTGTTAAGAGAGCGGCCCAGGCAACGACGACAGCCACGCCATATTCAGGTCAAGCTCTGCATCCTCGCCGCTTCATCAGGCTCCCGTAGTAACATACTTTGTTGGTTGAGGTTCTCGGTATCGACATTCGAGCTTGAATCTCTGGCATGTACCGCACTTTGGCCTTTGTTCATCACATCTTTGTTTTCGGTTGCGGCACGTCTCACAAGCCTGGGTATTTGTTAGTCACTTGGTTCGGCAGTGGAACACTCGAATTGATAGCATGAATTGAGGAGAAAACAGGAAATATATCAATAACACAGATATCCAAAGCAACTGGAAGCTACGAATGGAATCCGAGATTGATACTGACAGAAGACGTCGAAATGAAAGCGAAAGATGTGAGGGAACGACAGGCTAAGGCATTGGACCCCTGATTCAATGGCACGGTAATCAAGCCCAACATACCTGAGCTGCAATGGCACCGCGCTCTTTTCGATTACTTTGCGGCCCAGGTCCTGGAGAGACGTTGCTGGATGAGGATAGTCCTGGATCCATAACTAGAAGTGGCCGTATACCCCCATGTGACTTTGAGGAAGCAGTGTTTGGGAAACAGCAGCTCTAAAAAGCTGGCTAAAGTAAACTGAGTTCCCAGGTGTAATCGGTCGGCTCCATTGAGTAGAATGCCCCTCGAGATGAAAGTTGGTAGAGCGTTGGGGTATCGGTGGCTGTCTGTAATTGGGAAGCGAACAATGTCGCGACGATTTCGTGAGCTACCTGGCGTGGGTGGGAATAAAATAATGAGGGGCAGGACAATTAGAATGCACACACAAGGGAACTGATGTGGGCGACGGTGAGGGAAGACTGGGGATTAAATTGGGTACGTGATGACCGTTCCTGAGATGCAGTGACGAAGTTCAGATCAAGATGTGTCTCAATCCAATGTGCAGGGGGATATGGACTTTAATAACAACGGGGAAGCTAGAGGAGAGGCCGCCTTGTAGTTGGAATTTGAGAAGACATATCTTTAAGAGAGAGTTTTTGAGAGCGCACGAGAGGAGCAAGGGCGCGGAAAAGATTCTCAAAATGGGACTGGCAGGATGTGAACAGAACTCGACCGGAGCCAAGCCCGGCTCCGACAAGAGACGAGGGGAACAGATACAAGACCTTGACTTGAGTGAAGTCGAAGCTCGTCAGGTTTCGGTGCCAGAAGCAGTTGGAAATCCGTCAGTGCGGCCAAAAAGCGCCCATTTGAACAGCCATTGGGTGGTGCGAGGTAAGAAAAATGGAGGGCATCAAGATAATCCAACGTCCTGTCCCGTCTCACCATGTTTATGAGGAGCCTAGCACCACGCGGCTGATGCACGGTACCATTCACTCCTCGAGGCCGTACCGAACCGTTAATTGCACCACACCGTCCGAGCTCAGCAGCCCACCATGGATGGATGAATGAAGCTTGAGCCGCCCGATGAGGTTCCCTTCTTGACGACCCTGTGTCTGCATCCATGCTGGCGGACGTCATTGCCGGATCTCTTAACGGGCCGGGGGATCGAGCTCCTCTCTCCGGCGTTGGTTCTCTCATGACAGCTTTCCAGATCCAGAGCCCACACACACCCGATCGATGCGTGCACACACACACCAGACATCTAAATCGACCAAACCTGCGACGAACAGCGTTAGAAGCCCTGGTTTTCTAAAGGCACGCTCCCTTTGGTTTGGCGTCACGCCGCCGTCGCCACTGCTGGTGCGGGTAGTTAGAACGTGATCGTCCATAATCTGTACCGACCGTCCGGAGCTGGGAACTAAGCGACCACTCTCCTGGGAGACCTTTTGCGTGGAGTAGTGCTTGGCCGTCGACCTCATCCCTTCAGCAGTTGCGATTACTGCCATGACTGGTTGAGCTGGCTTGTGATCGGCCATCATCTTTCCAGCCCTGTTTAGCGTACCCTATGCGCCAAAAGAAAAGAGGTACATTTCGCAGCAAATGAATATCTTATTCTTCACAGCCATGTGCGTGTCTTGTGCCTGACCTGGCCTGGCTTGGCTATGACGCCTGAATGAAGGGTCCATTAGGGCGTCATTTTGTGTCGCGTTAAGCCGATGAATGCATACCTTAATTGTTCCTACTTGGTACCTTTGAGACAGCAACAACCCTGAGCTGGATCTCAACACCCTCACGATAGGAATGATTCATGTGGTGACGCCGCAGCAAAACCTTAGCTGCCCTTGGGATATGGCAATGTGCCACAATCCCAGTCATCAGAGCTCATTCGTTGATGGCAATTCGTCAAAGAGCCATTCCGAATTAGCATCTGACATCTATGGGCATTCCCCAAGTCCGATGCTGTGTTGTGGAGGGGCCGTAGGGGTTGTGCTAGGTTGGGAAATAGCCTTTGTGGCTTGCCGTAAATGTGAGCTATCCCAGCTCGTAGTCGAAAACTAGCCGCGGCCGTATGCCCAGAATTATCACAGTGAAATTGTTTCATTCATCACGAATATCAAGGACATTCGGAGCAGGTCCTTCTCTAGGCACTTATGCCGGTACAATAAGGCTGAGCTCCTGCAGCGTCCTGGGTTGGCTATGATCGACAGGCTCATGCCTGCTGAAATGACAGAAGCAAAGACTCGCAAGATCTGTCTTGTGATTAAACGGGATCAGAGCCGCAATATGCAGGGGATCGGAACCCAAAGCCAACGCTGAACCAACCATGATGTTGTAAAGAGGGCTTAATATCGATTATCGACCTCTCCTCAGCTGAGCAAGGTATTATGAGCAAACAGCTAGTTTTGGCTGGTCATTCATCCAATTCAAGATGGCAGCAAAATGTTGCAACTTGTCTTATCATAGCCCAGCTTCTAGCATGAGCGACCAATGAACTATTGATCATCCAATTGCGCCGGTCGTTGCTGGCTTCCAATACCTAGGTAATCAACTCGACGTCCCTGAGGGCAGAGGTTTGGAGACTGCTGAACCGAAACGACTTATGATGGATTTACCTGCAGGCACCCTTGCTTGAATATTCGCAAACTGCTAAGAAGTAACTTCTGCCTGGAGCAAGAAAAGACTAATGTGATATTTTTGCTGTGTTGCTTTGATCTATCTCGCCGAGATATTGCTATGGCTTATAAAATGAATGAATGTCAAGAAGTAACCATTCCACAACAGGACGAAGCAATCCACAGCCAACCTTGGCAAATTAGTCCTTTGGTGACAACGTTAGGTCATACTGAAAGAGGGTGTGGAGTTAAACAAGCACATCGATCAACTTAGCAGTTCAGTGTTCCTGAAGTCAATCCAGTAAGTTTGCTCCTTATCAAGTAAATTATGATTAATGCAGGTACGGAGACGGCGAGACATTTAGCTACCATGCGTAGCTGCTCTGTTTCGCATCCGAGATTCTGCAGGCGAGTAAAATGCTGTCGAGCTGGATTCCGATCGGAGAGGTCGAGACATGGCTGAAGAAGTCTCCGAATAAACGACGGATCTCAAGATTCAGCAAGGGATGATCCATGGGGCTGTCTGTGGGCTGCCCGAGACAAGGGTGGTGCCACCCATGCAATGCATGTCCAGTGATCCCCGCAACGGCGAGCTAGTCTTGAACCTGGCAGACATGGCTGCTGGTGTCTGGCTACTGATTAACAAGAGCGAAAATGATAAGATAGAGAGAGCAATCCGGGTTACCAAGTGTAAGAGATCATCATATTCGTCATTATGCTGAAGCAGGTCCTTGTAAAGTCTTGGCTTGAGTTGATGATCTCTTTGACGCTTGCGGGTTGAAAAGAGAACAAGTCAGAAGTCGTATTCAGGCTGAACTGTGTAAAAGAACAGTGAGGAAACCTACGATCGATCCAATGTCTTGGTCGTACCTGCCAGACCCACAGGAGCATCAAAAGAATTTACAACGGGCAATTAGCATTTGAGCGGCCGTTGAACCTGCCACCTACGTAAGCAGCTCGGGGGTTGCTCTGAAAGAACCTTCTATGAAATGAATGTAATACGAAGAAGTTACATAGCATGAACCGGCAAGTCACTACTTTCCTGTAAGGTAGGTAGTTTGTACTTTGAAATGGTCCCATAGATTGTGGCAGTGATTTGGAAACTTGGCTTAACCTACGTGTTTTCAAGGATCCTTTGATTTGAACAGACCAGACTCTTTGACCCATTGCCAGGAGCTCACCTGTTTCATTGGACAAGAGCTGAAGACCTCAAAGTGACACCCACAACACAAGGTTCCAACTGGGGTGATATTGGCGTGCAGCAGCAAGAGATCAGCCTGATCATCGTTCACTATTTCCACAAGCTCACAGTGCTCTAATACTGTGTTTGTGATGACCTTTCGGACGAACACGATTGCCTTGTCTAAATTGCAGGTAGCAAATGAGGAGTCTACAGAAGGTGCAACGTGACCAGAATCTTAGATTCCGCCAAGAAACTGCTTCTGATCGGCAGTTGAAGCTTCTTTCACTGTCGCGGTGCAGAGCATAGGGTGATGAGCTCCACAAACCAAACCTTGAGCTCACTGTACCCCGGTAATTCAATCACGGCAATTGGAGAAACAAGCGGAACCCTCGGTCCATCTCCACCCCCATATTTACACGAATGCGTCCACTTCTGGTTGCTCGTGCTGATAGTCTGCAAAAATGTCGACGACTTGACGATACCATTTTGGAAGAAGCCGATCCAGTCAAACCCGTCGATTTGTTCCCGAGGAGAAGAATTTCTCACTGTGCGTTTTTGTCCATACCTCCTCGCCGCCCTTCACGATTGAATCGCGAGTGTTTGTGACCTCCACCAGAACCAGAGGGTGGGTGCTGTCGCCGCTCCACTGTGCTGTCCCTCAGCCAAGCTCACTCCCCTGATCGGTACTCCATCTCTTCAAGATGCCTCTGGGGATCCTCGAAGCAAAGGGGATCGAGCATGTTCCTGGTGCGTACTTAACGTCACCTCCATACCAATATGGAGGACATGGCCTTCCATCGCCGATAGCAGAACACACACTTTTCAGGACATGACGAATTGACAGATCGCCCAATCCCATAGGCACAACGCAGTACTTTGACGATCCGTCTCGGCCCCAGGTAGCTGGCGAGCATCATGGGAACCTCAAGCGCGTACAAGTTGGGACCGAAACCATTATCCTCGTATGTATTGTCTGCCTTGGGGCTTGTTGCGCGTACGCTGACGTTGGCACGAACCTCAGATCCCTCAGCCTTCTGATGACCCAAACGATCCGTTGAACTGGTCACTTTTGCGACGCGACCTGATCACCTTTCTACTCTGCTTCGCGGGTATTCTCGCTACCGCACTCGGCCCTATCCTCGCTGCCAATACGATCACAATCTCTCTGCTCTTCTCGAAGGACTTCACAAAGGTTGCCCTGTTGACGGGATATTTCTTACTGGGTTGCGGTGCTGGCGCTATTTTCTTCGTTCCGTCCGGCCGCATCTGGGGAAAGCGACACTTGTTCCTCATAGGTATCCTCATTCTTATCGCTTCCAGCGCGTGGGCCGGGTCTGTAGGAACCAATTATGGAAGTTTCATTGGAGCCAGAATTGTTCAAGGCGTTGGTTGCGCACCCTATGAGAGCTTACTCAATGCAGCTGTGGGTGACCTCTACTTTGTCCACCAGCGAGGAGTGAGAATGGCCTTTACGAACCTGGCGGTCTTCGGCGGTGCCTTCTTCACTCCCATCTTGGTGGGCAAAATCACTGATTCCATGGGATGGAAGTGGACGTTCTACTTCGTTGCCATCTTTCTTGCTGCTACGCTTCCGGCCATTTTCTTCTTCTGCCCCGAGACGGCATATCGACGAGAAGCCAGTCTGAACACTGACACTACCGGTGAGCTAGGAATAGAATTGACTACCAAGGATAAACGTCAAGCGCCGTCACCACAGGCAGAGTCCGGATCTTCTCGTTCTCCGGAACCTACCCAGCACTCCGCTGGTTTCACCTTCTTGCCTAAGTCCAATGCTCTTCAACCCATCGGCCATTCTAATACACCTAAGAAGACCTTTCTTCAGTCGATTTCTCTGTTTGATGGCCGGAAGACGGATGAGCGATACTGGGTCCTTTTGCTGCGACCGTTTCCCCTCCTCACTCATCCAGCATTTATCTGGGGCTGCCTGATCCAGGGAGCCATGATCGGCTGGACAGTATTTATCGGAGTTATTGTCGCCGCCATTTTCATAGGGTCTCCTTACTACTGGGACGAGGTTGATGCCGGCTACACTTACACGGGCCCATTCATCGGTGCCGTCCTAGGTTTTGTCTTGGCAGGTCTGCTCGCTGACACAAGTGTCAAGTACATGACCAAGCTCAACAGAGGCATATACGAACCAGAGTTTCGCATTCTTCTTGTGATCCCCATGATGATCATTGGAGGAATCGGATTATATGGGTTCGCCTTAACGGCACCTGGTGTGGTAAAAAAGGAATACTCATATGTCGTACCTTTGATCTTTTTCGGATTTGAAGTCGCAGGAATGGTCATTGGTGCTGTGGCCAGCTCACTTTACATTGTTGATGCCTATCGTATGTTTCTCTCGTCGTATAAACAGCTGTCACTAACATCATGGCAGGAGATTTGGCCATTGAGGGCTTCACCATCATGATCATATTCAAGAACTTTTTCAGTTTCATCTTGACTTTCTTTGCCTACAATTGGATTAATGACGGTGGTATCGAACGAACAATGCTGGCGATCGCCTCGATTCAAGTGGTGGTATGCCTTCTCAGCATCCCTATGTGTAAGTCGGTTTCGATCGCACGTTGGTTTTCATGCTGACTTGCTATAGATATCTACGGTAAGCGGGTGCGAGCATTCTACTATCGCCATGATTTGCTTGATATGACTGGCCTTCGCTAGCTGTTTAAACAGTTTCGAGGAATTAAGATGCTCGATATATCATGAGTTGGGTAAAAGCAACAGATGCGTTTCTAGAGTACCCAGGGTTGGGCTATTTTTAATGTTTATTTCCTGTTAGACTTCATAAGGGAGCATGACACGATTCTTGGATATTATTGTTGGATCATAGCCATGAGAGTTCGGCGATATTGTCTTTGATACAATATGACACATCAATTCATTGCGTAATGGCTATTCTGGTATCTGAAAGCGAAAATCATAACATCGCATGGGTCATGTATATTCTGGCCAAGAAATATTTACTTTCCCACTACCTATCGTCTCATATTCACGCCTTGACCGCTCCGGCCTGGGACGCGCCAGCAGCTGCAAGCGTCGACTTCTTGACAAGACGCAGGCCGCCAAGCAAAATAAAGGCAGCCTGGACACCCAAAATGACAACGAGAGTAACAAGGGCGCCAATGACGCCAGCAACCGGCTTCGAAATACCGTTGCCAGAGCCGCCAGAGCTTGATTGAGACGAAGTAGAGTCATCATCCGAGTTACTAGCACAGTTGCCGTCGTGGTTTCCGCAAAGCTTGCACCAGTGCTTGGTGTCCTCGATGGCGAAATCAGACATGCCAGTCTTGAAGTCCTTCCAGGAGATGGTGGTCTCATCCTTGCCGAAGAGAGGGAACATCTTCGGGGTGTGTTCGGCAGCAGTGCCGTTGGCAAAGTAGAAGCGGACACTGACGTCGTCGGCAGTAGGGTTGGTGGCGTTGGTTACGAGCTCAAAAACCATAGATGAGGCGTAGTCGACGACTCCCTTGAAGTCAGAGCTAACCTTGTCGAGGCCAGCAAGACCGAAGAAAGACATGAAGGCGGCGTAGGCACCGAACTGAATGTTGACCTTGGGTCCCTTCTTACCCTCTGCAAGGGGCTCAAGAGCCTCGATGATCTGGCCAGCGAGCACAGAGCCAGAAATGGCACGGACAGGCTCGCTGCTGTTGTAGGCGAGGTTCCACTCATGGATAGAAGCGAGGTTGTAGAGCTTTTCCAGGGTGGAGTCATCGAGCAGATCGTCAGAAGAGATGCTAGAATTGTGAATGCGAGCAACATTGATGAGATCAAAGACTATGCGAGTTAGTGGGGGCCTATGTGCTTGAGATTTATCCATGAACTTACTGGTATAGGCATTCTGGAAGTTGGCCTCATCCTTGCCGTAGGTCCCATTGATGACAGGGAGAAGGCCCTGATAAAAGCTTTCAGAGTCCTTGTATACTCCAGCGTACTCGGGGGAGGAGAAGTAATCATTCGAGCTAGCCTCAGCGTTGGTGCAACCACTGTTGCCCTGAAGCCAAGCACTGTTCTCAGAGTTCTTGTCGCTAGCTGCAGTAGAGACTGCAGCAATGGGGATATATTGATATCCGCTGAACGGAGCCTCGACCTTGGATCCATTGGCAAGAGTCTCAAACTGCTTGGTAGGAGGGTAAAGTCCCTGCAAGAATACAAGAGCAGAGTTCTGGAGCACAGCGTCGGCGGGAGAAGTAACATCTAGCTGAGACAAGACGGCTGACTCGGGGCTGAGGCCGGTGATCTTCCGTGAAGCATCCTTGCTCACATAAGTATCGCGATACCAAGAACCGGAAGAGTGAACCTCGTCGGCTCCGAGAGCTGTGAAGTTTACGGGCTTCCAAGCCTTGGCAGTGCGATCACCGTGACGGTGGAAGACGTAAAGGCCAAGGACATCTTCGGCAGCAGTCAAGGAGGGGAGGGAAGATAGAAAGAGGAGGGAGAGGGGCTTGGCGTGCATTTTGGGTGTGTGGGACGTTGAATGAAGCTATACACACTTACTCGTAGCCACTGTTGACGACAAAGGGGAAAGGAAGAGAAGAGAGACAGTCAAGAGAGAGCGAGGAGTGGATAAAATATATATATTTCTCATCATTACCTATTACAACAAGATAACGTACGTTCTTAGGAGAGTCAAAAGATATGGGATCGTATGTAATCCCCCCCGCCCTGTTCGGCTCTGAGCGTGCCGTGTAGCTGCAAGGTTCCCACACAATGGATCTCTCCGGGTCAAGGTTGATTCTCTAGTTCAGCTAATTGAATCCTCTGGACCCTCTTTATTTCTGGATAGTCATACCTAGATAGGAAACTCTCTTCACACCATAATCATGATGATTTTGCAGACCTACCTTATTTCTGGAGCTTGATTCTCGAATGTTTTGTGCTAAGAGTGTCGACTTCAAAGACAACGCGAGATTTAGATACCTATGTCCGAGAAATTGATGATTGCCGCCGGATACGGATCATATCACTCTGCCTCACCTGTCAACTGCACGATTAGGTAATATCATTCGTGAACGAAAAGCCCATGGGAGCTCAAAAGTGACCCCTCCTTGACTGGCCTTGCCCTAGCGGGCACTAATGCAAGCCCACACCAACTTATCAACCAGTCTCTGTAATCAGATAAACAGCCACAATTGGCTTTTTCATTAAGTTTCCAGGCTTGCCAGGCACTTTTGCCCAAGAGTGGGAGAGAAGGGAAAGACTCACAACGGCCATCGGAGGCAATTTGATTGGATGTCGGCCGGGTCGCGGCTCTAACGGGTCGATTATGCCGTACTATCTCCGGCTCTTCGTTCATGGATCGAATCGAGAAATGGCATGTGGTATTTCGTATCGGTTTCGGGCTCTTTTTCGGAATGGAGAATATGGGGTTCACGGAGCATTTCCTTGCCAAGTAACGTTGCTGTAAAGAATAAGCATATAATGTCCCATGCAGGGAGATCAAAGGGCGTAAAACCAGCAAGTCTGGTCTTGATCAAGTAATCGGTCTATTGTATTTGGGGTGCACTTATTCTTGTCAGATATCTAACAAAATATTATCATGGAAGCTAAGATCGACTCCGTCAGACCATCCACTTCCGGAGATGTCAACGCCAAGGCGGATCCCCAATTGGATGTTATCTATCATCCCAGAACAAGTATCTCCGTCACTTCCGATCCTCCGATCCCTGGGGCTCTGGTCCAGCTGATAAGATAACCTGATTCTAGCTAACACTTGATCTGATATTGAAACATTGTGGCTTAGTTTATATAATATCGCCTCATGGTCCTCCATACCTGCCTCGTCAAATGGTAATCTTGGAGCTTGATCTACATCGTACAGCAACCAGTATCCTTACAACTTGGCCTTTCCGTTCTTTCTTGGATCTCGCAGGTTCTTTGAGAACTCTCCGTTGAGAATATAATCCGGATACTCCATGCCAGCCTCGGTTCCCACGCTGATGGCTCCCTGGCGTCTCCATGCAGCGCCATCGACAGCCAGGACTTGTCCACTGACATAGCTTCCGGCTTCGCTGAACAAAAAGACTGTCGCATCTGCGATATCTCGTACAGTTCCAGCGCGGCCCAGCGGGATTCCCTTGGCGTATCTCTTCTTCTCACTTTCTGCATCGCTCCCCAATCTGGCCAGACCCTCAGTGCCATCGATACCTCCTGGGGCAATTACATTGCTTGTCACCCCTCTTGGTCCATACTCCAGGGCAACGGACGCCATGAGTGAGTCGATAGATGCCTTAGCTGCAGAGACGTGTGCCTGGAGAGGCATGCCGGTGTAATGGAAAGTGGCAGAGACGTAGATGATACGAGGGGTTGAGCTCTTCAGGAGATAGGGCATTGTCGCCTTAATTGTGTTGAATGTTCCCAAGACATCGATGTCCATTACTGACTTGAACGCATTGGAGCTGAGGCCTTCAATGGGAGCGACAAAGTTGCCAGCTGCACCAGCGCTATGATATGCATTAGTATGTTATATCCAGGCATGGTCAAATTGAAGCCTTACATGACAAAGTCGATCCCTCCAAGCTCTTTCACGCATCGCTCAGCCGCAGCCTGAAGACTGTCGATCTACGCACAGTCAGTATCATCATAACCGTCGTCAATAGACGACACGCGTCATACCTTTCGAACATCACATCCTCCGATTCCTATCACTTTGGCTCCCTCTCTTACACTCGCGATGTCTTTAGCCGCAAGCTCTGTCTTCTCGACACTTCGGCCAATGATGCATGCGTTTGCACCCAGACGAACTAATGCTCGCGTCTGCATGCTGCAGATGCTTCCTGCACCGCCAGTCACGAAGACAACGCGACCATCTAGACGGTTTCACATGTTAGCAAATCTCTACCAAGAATAGATGAGATCGTCTTGAGACTGACTGAAGATCCCATCTCGCCAGACGGGGCTGAGATACTCAGACTCAGGAACGGGCATTGTGATTCGATTGAGGTCGACACGTGGCTCAAGGGTACTTCAGGTGACGCATATACTAGCTCACTACCAGTTTCCAATAAGGTGATGTCGAAGGGAGTCAATTGTATGATTAATGTAATCTGGAGAAGTGATTAAATGGATGGCTGTTCGGCTGAAGCAAATAAGGTTCAGGTGCCGGGCCGTCGTGCCTCGGCTTGGAGTGGGTCACTATCAGCAAAACAGCCACATGGAATCTGGGGTTGATCTCCACTAATCCTCCGACCGCTCTCGGCCGAGTTGTGCAATGATCTAAAGGCCCGGGCCGTTTGCCACATGGCATGAGAAATATGGTCATCATATCAACGGATTCACTATCTCTGCATAAATTAAACAAGTTGCTTGGTGTTATCGTTCATTCAACATATCTATCAAAGGTATGGCAATACCTCGGTTCGGTACTTACGACGATAAAAGGGATGTCATACTAGACAGCATGAAACTCAGCATGTGAAATCGGATGAAGACCTTTTGTTTCAAAGAGAAACAGGCCCAATCCAACATCCCAGTGGTATGATTTTGTCAATGCCAGGCAGGATACGCACGTCACTCGCGTTGTCTGCGCAAAGGACATGGGGTTAGGAGCTGTAGAAGAGGTATCATAGACTCTTCTGTGCCACTCTGCACATAAATGGCATGAAACTGGGAAGACAGCTTGCACTGCTATGCACTTGGCTCCTCGTAATTTAAGCTTCATGCCTAGTTCCCGCGGACTGCATTGCCGCCCACAAAACGAACAGAGCCAGGTTTGTGCATGGCCCCCACATCCATGCTCCCTAATCACCTTTATTTTTAGGAGAATCTGGAGAATTTGTAATGAGATTGTCCTGACCGTGACGAAAGCCCAAAGGCCTCAAGAGCGGAAGCTATTAGTGTGATTTGTGGCTATCCGAAGGACGTCCCAATCCACAGTCGACCCATAACGCCTCGCAAACCAATGTCAAAGTGGAATAGTCAGGGGCCAACTGAAACATCCACTGATAGCGAACCTTTAAGGTATATACGCGTAAGCAGCATTCACCTGGGACTGCGTAAAGCTACCGACTTGTCCTTCTTTAAACACCTGGATCTTGGCATCAAAATGTCCTAACAGCCATGGTTTCGTCTCAGGTCTAAGCGCGGGGAGTGAGATGGCACTCTTCAACCAACAGGGATGAACGTGGCAGATCTCGCTTATTCTCAGCTGCATCGTACGGGCCCTGTTGTCTCTCTTCTCCTCAATCTTAGGTCATTGGCCATAATATTCCGCCTCACCAGACTGTCAAACGGTTACCGGTACATCCCGCGCGGCATGCGCCTCAAAGGCTCGCACAGGCGCGCTTATTCCCCCTCATTCCCCGCAGCATCAGCTTTATACCCGGCCAAACTCCATATTAACTCTGATCTTTGCCCTTTACTTGCATATTGTCTCTTGTATGTTGACCAAGATCAGTGGGGTTAAGGGACTCGATTGCCGTAAGCGAGCTGTCAGAGCCCAAAGATGGTGGGATGGCAACCTGCGTCTCACTAGCATAGCATAGCGTATTCCGTCACCCGTCGTGACAGTCCTGATGCCAACGGCAATGTAACCACGCAGTGAAAACACCGACGGCATCCCTGCTTGTTTGGCGATAACCGGAGTGCTGCATCTTCCGAGTCTGCGAGGTAAGCCATGCTTGGTTAGGCATATCAGGCATAATATATGCTAACGGCAGCCTACAGAACCAGCTGAAAACAGTAGCTCTATAATAGCCATAATAAGAGTCCTTCATCTTTCTAGCGCCAAATATGAACCGACACAAGCCCAAGAGTGGTAAATTATGTAGCGATACACATTTCATGTCAATCATAGTACCGTTCAACGGCGTGGGTTCCGCTCGCTCAACAATCAATAGCTAAGAGGCTGAGGCAGCGTCTACCACACATAGAAATTCGCATTCAGTGACCATAGATTTCTTTTTAATTGTTTCCATAACGCCAAGTTAGTGTATAATTCCCGTGTACTAGTACAGACGAGCCTCTAGGGGTCTAGCTCGAGGTTCAACTTTCAAATCTGTCGCTGGATAATGTTTCTGATTCGCTTGCCTCTGCCGCTTTTCATGAATGCTGCCGATAAAATCGTATGCTACTTCCCTTGCCTCATCGATAGCATACCTGCTACTTATTCTTCTCGTTCAAACCCCTACGGGAGGCCCAAGATCCTGCTCTTGTACTCTCGAATTCGAAGCTCTGCTTCGATTGAATGGAAAGAAACATCATCTTGGTGCCTTGGATTCCATACAAGCTTTAAACTAGGCTGTCATTTTTGCAATTCCATATCAATGGAGAATATGAAATTTGTTGGCCATGGTGAGTACGGCCAGGTTGTTTCTGTAGTGCTCTTTCTGATCGTGTCGAGTCTAACATCAGCCGCAGTTTTTGGTTTCACCCACAACACAATGGGCAGCTTTCCGGGAGAACGATATAGCGTTCGTGAGGACCCTTGGGACAGGCATGTTCGCGACTTCCATCTATAGAAGTTTTGCAGAAATGTGTCCCAGGATCTGTGCAAGAAGTGTAGATGTAATAGTTTTTGGTGAAGTCGCACATGTTGGCAAGGCGTCGGAAACAGAATGGTCTGAGAAAAGAGATTAAC